TAAGTTATACTACTTTAAAACTTTAAAACGCTATTGAAATTCATATACAAAGTTATTTTTTTTGCTAATCTTTATTTAAAATGATTGTTAATTAATTTATTAAATTGTATTTTTATTTATGCCTGGCCAGCTTCAACGTTTATGTGCAAATTTGTGATTAAGAGATTTAGATTTGAAAATTGCTGTGTAATATTATTGCGAATTTATTGTTAAATTTTTTATACATTTTGTGACAAAAAACTTGATATTTGATCAATAAAGTAGCAGGATTTACCACAGCTTCTTCATTGTGTTACATACTTCGACATGAATTGTGTATAACACACTTATATTTCTGGCTGGAGGGTATTAGAAACTAAACACTAATCAAAATTCAAAACATGCAAATCAGACGCGCCGAAAGAACAATGCACAGAAATAAAAGTTTGGAAAAATCCCTATTATGTTGTTGTTGCTGCTGCTGCTGTTTTACCTGATGATGATCATCATCCACATCATCATCATCATTATCAGCTTCATTGTGGCAGCTCACAGTTCAAAGCGTTCAAAAGAGCAGCAACAACAACAGCAACAATAAAGACAAAGCTGCCCTGCTGCTCCCTACAGCTCGAGTTCATCATACAAAAGAGCTTTTCAACTTGTTGGTCACGCTTCAAACCGGCACCAGCAACAACAACAACTTCTGGCACGGCACCTAAGCAGGCACTTCACCGACCGCTTGGCCACAAGTTGTGCTGCGTGTAGCAACATTAACGGCCGCACGACGCAGCTTTTGGCCAAGTCAAGCACACATTACCAACTTCATTTTGTTTGAAAAATGTACTGCGAGCATTTTTAGTGGAGCCCCGAATTGGTTGTTGTTGTTGTTGTTGCTGTTGTTGTTACCTGTTGGCCACTTCATCACCCAGTCCCATGATTCCATTTGATGTAGTGGTGGAGAGCAGTCATAGCTGTGCCTGTGCCCCTGATTTATGCTGTTGATGATGCCATTCCATCACAAATATACACACACACACACACACATATATATATATATGTACATATACTGATATATAGTACATACATATACTATATGTATCTGCTGTATGTGTGTAAGTTTGTTTGCACACATACACTGGGCGCGCGTACATAATTTAATATCTTTTGTCATTTCTTCTATTTGTTTGTAGTGGCCTGTTTTTATTGTTTTCTGCAGCTGAACTTTTTTCTCTCCAATTTTTTTTTTATATATCTTCTTTACATACACACTTACCATATGCCATTTGTTTATGTCCGTTGTAAATTAAACTCACTTTACAGTTGTAACTTATTTAGAGAGACTACACTGTAAACAAAGTTTTCAGATCTTAGTTAGTTTGTTTGGCAAGCAATGCTTGTTTGCAAGGTACTTTATCATTCTGATGCGGCGTAAAAGTTCTTGATCTTGATATTATAATTATAATGTTGGAAAAACAAAAGCTTAAACAAATCTAAGCAATTTAATGTGAGAAATATTAAAGATGCCTTTGGAGCGCTTCTTTAAACGTTCTTCATAAATGCATAAATACATAAATGCAACAACTTTGAAAACCAAATTAAACTTGTAATTAAATTAAATTTCAACTGATTGAAATTTAAATGAATATATAATGACTAGCGTAATAACTTAAATGTAATCTGGTATTTAATAAATAAATAAACACAGACAAAGCAATCCTACAAGTATGCAAGTAGTAGGGATTTATAAATAAACTAAATGACTTCATTTGTTTTATAATAATATTATATTCACTATACTCAAGACGTTATGAAATGCTTATGGACTATACACTATATTATTCATTTCATATTATTGTTAGCGCTCTATACTTATTCAAGTTGAAGTCAGGAAAACCCCAAAACAATTCAGGAAAACCGCTAAATAATTCTGACGTGCAATTCGTTTATCAGAATTCAGTATATGTGTAATCTAATAATCTTATCTATGGTAAGGCGAACGATTGGGCGCCATTGGATCAAAAAGATTTTAACCTATTGAATTAATATTGAATGGGAACGAACCAGTTTATCAAGTTTATTAACTCTAGGTATTGTATACATATGTATATGGACAAACAGATGACCATATAAAAACCCCGATTGACATGGGTATATCTAGAGCTTACACTTGTTTCCCTTTAAGTCTTTTGTTAAAAAGGCAAGTCGCCTTACATCACTAGACTACACCTAATATTTCAGATTTAATGAAACTGTTATCAGATGGTACGAATTACAAATCAAACACGAGCTTATAAAGTCTCCATAATATCGTTTTTATAGATATATGAACTGTTCCTTGGAGTATAAGTTTAATAAATAAGTATATCCGAAGCATTACACCTAAGTCTGTTTTTACACGGTTTGAATATTAAATATTTTATACACCTAATTCTGTTTTTACGCGTTAGATTGGTTCCAGAAATAAGTTTGTAAAAAAAAGCATCGATCATATACAAAAAGAGGTGATTGCTTCTATATCTCTTAAGAAATATATATGCAATTTTTATACCTTGTACCCAAAGGCTACAATTAATTAAATTAATTTAATTTCTTTTTTGTGGGGTGGTACAGGGTATTTAAGAGTTGAGCCTGCTCGACTTTAGCATTCCTTTCTTGCTAATTTTCAAACCGTGTTATATCAAAATCGTTGAAAAATAGGTGCATATGGTTGCAAGACTTTATTCCATTTAGCACGATTCAAAATAACATATCAATGTGTTTTTACACGGTTTTTTTTTGTACACGATTTTTTCTGGAACCACTCTACCGTGTAAAAACAGATTTAGGTGTAGTTTCTCTAAAATCATAACGAAATTGTCACCTTCTATTAAAACGCATTTCAAGCACCATCATCTTTAATTTATTTAGCTCCCTTTAAAGTAACCTTTAATACCTTTGAATATATATTTGTTTTCATATAATCTTTCTAATACCGAAATCAACCATTAATTATAATTACAAATTTTCAATTAACAATCATTTGAAATCTGAAAACATCTCCTACATCGCCAATTCGACACGTTGTTCCCATTATTCCTGACGCATGCTGTTCGTTCGTTTTTCGGATGACAGACTGTAAGAAAAAGTATATGAAGTTTTTCTTGGGCTAACCTCAGAGGTAGCCAAAGGTATGTTGATGATGTTAGCTGAGAGAGTAGGCAGCCAATGAGCTGTGAAATGCATTTCTTGCCGCAGCAGACACCACACCCAACAAACAATTGCAGCTTGATTAGTTGTAATTATAAGCCCCATCAGGGGGTGGGGTGTTGGGGGGAGTTACAAACATAATAATCATAAGTATAAAGCGCAAGCAGAGCTAATTTGTTGTAAGCCAACCAAGTGCGCTCAATTAAGCAGCAACCGTGAAGAGTATCTCGCTGAGCCAAGCAGAAAAGCAGAAATGATAACTTGAGCTCAGAATCGGAGGGACAGACAAACCACCAATAAAGACTTTAGGCCACTTCCGGTTTGTGGCAATGCTGGTGGCACATGAACCCAATTGAAGCAGAAGAAAGAAGCGACAACAAAGCTTTGGCAGAGAAGAGGAGCTTTGAACCTTTTTAGATACGAGTATGCTGGTTAGCTGGTTCGCCTGGTATGGTCGTTCACTTGGATCGCTTGGTTGGTTCTGCCACATCTTGAATTGGGTCGAATAGCAAAGTTCTTCACGGTTTGCGATTGTAGCTGTTTCTGCTCACTGTACTCGTATATATTTTCGTTACCTACCTCTACCATTTTCTTCTTTCTGTTTACCACTACACAATTCTTTTATAGTTTGGATTGTTGTTGTTGGCCCCTTAGGCAAATTTCGTCATTGTAGCGTAAACGACTGAACTGAAGAAAGTCTTTAAAGCACGACGTATAAAGCTGCTACGAATATAGCGCATAATAGAGGATTTTTCGTGTTGGAAAAAAAAAAACAATAAACAAACAAACAAAAAAAAATACAAAAGCCAAGCTTGAAATGTCGTTTTCGGGCTTTTGAGACTCGGTTGCGCCGTTGCGCGAATCAGTTAAGCGATGCTTTTTTACACGGAAGGTTTTCACAAGAGTTCACGTCTAGAGCAAAAAGTCAGCCGTGGCGGTGGCGCAGCGACTCTGCAAGACAATGCCATCGAGGGACAACGGCAGCAATTTATCAAGGTAGAGGCTAAAGGGCCGCTGACTTGAGATCTCAATAGCAGCCGTTGACAATGTGTGAAAGCACAGGAAGAAGCACTCGGAACACTCCCACTTACGAGTACCGACCCACCTATCTATAAACAACAATCTAATCTTGTGTTCGAACAGCAAGGAAGGAAGGAAGGAAGGAATGACTGCAGCAGCACTATCTACTGCCATGCCGCACGTAGGCGTCCTAACTGGTTCGGTTTTACTTCAGACAAGCTCCAGCTGCCTTTAACGACAGCTGGTTCTGCAATCGTTCGACTCTTTATTGTCTGGCTCTTTAAATGGGCACAGATTTCGCCTCTATTTAAAATGACGAATACTTGACAAACGGATTAACTGACTGACTGACATGCCAATTAGTTGAAAGGCAGGTCACGATAAGAAACTTACTTTTGCTCGGAACTAGTTTCCTCAAATGTGGGTTGATATTTACTTTATTTAATTCTTTCAAAATCGTGGAAACTGAATCTGAAATCAGATCAATTATGTACCCTTAACAACTTGTATTTATCCGAGAGCTAAGCTACGATTCTTTGAGTTGAGCCTACGTAGATCATATAAGTTATATTTAATTCAAAATAAATTGAGTTGAAGCTTTAGTTTTCACAGCTCTCGTAAAGATCAAGAATCAAAGATCAGGTTGGAAAACAGGTTTTTCAAATAATTGTTAGCAGTTATTTAGTTATATTTTAAAGGGATACATGATTATCTTTTAAAATCCCAATTTTCTCACCTATTTCTTAACCTTAGCGCATTACCTATCGCTAAGAAAGTCTGCTAAACTCCCCTCCACCTCTTTCTATATCTTCCAGACTGCCCAACATGGTTTTCCACACAAACCGTCGGCATTGGCTTACGATCCTGTCTCGCGGCTCATGGCCATTGGCACACAAACAGGCGCCATTAAGGTGTTCGGCCAGCCCGGTGTAGAGTTCTATGGTCAGCACACATTGGTTAACAATTCGGCAGCTGAGCTCAATGTACAATTGTTGGAATGGGTCTATGGAACGGGTCGTGTCCTCTCACTGACCGCAGCCAATCAGCTAATACTGTGGGAGCCGGCCGGCACCACTCTGGTGCCCATCAAGACGCTGCCTTTCGATGGCAAACTGAAGAAGGTGTCCTCTTTGTGTTGTTCACTAAACAAGGATTTGGTGTGGATTGGTACCGAGGGTGGCAACATCTATCAATTTGATTTGAAGTCGTTCAGTGTGCGCGAGCCCGTGATTTATCACGATGTGGTGCTGGAACAGGTGCCACCCTCCTACAAACTGAATCCGGGGGCCATTGAGTCGATACGTCAGCTGCCAAATGCTCTAAACAAGCTGTTGATTGCCTACAATAGGGGACTGTGTGTGCTGTGGGACTTGGAGACGTCCGCAGTGGAACGTGCCTTCATTGCTCCCGGACATGGACAGAGCGTGGGTCTGTATGTGAACTCCACCGGTTCCGAGTTCAATTGGTATCATGCGGACGGCTCGTACGCCACTTGGAGCATTACAAGCGGTGAGCCGCCTAAGAACGTTAATTATGTGCCCTATGGGCCGGATCCGTGCAAGAGTATAAATCGTCTCTACCAAGGAAAGAGGGGGTAAGTAAATAGCTAACTAGCTTTAAAAATTCACTGAAGAGTGTCCATTTCAATGTGGTGCTTCCATTTGTTTAACTGGGAGAAGAGAATGAACGACGGTATAATGAGCGACTTTCTTCTTTTAGCAACAATGATGTCATCGTTTTCTCCGGCGGCATGCCGCGCTCCGCTTATGGTGACCACAACTGCGTCTCGGTGCATGGCAGCGATGGCAAAAAGGTGTGTCTGGACTTCACATCCAAGGTGATTGACTTCTTTGTCACCTACAAGAAGGAGAACAGCGAGGCCGTGCAAGTTCTCATAGTGTTGCTGGAGGAGGAACTGTGCGCATACGATCTCACCGATCCCCAAGTGTCTGCCATCAAGGCACCCTATCTACATTCTGTGCATGCCTCAGCCGTAACGTGCAACTATCTGGCCTCTCAGGTCAGCCAGTCGGTGTATGAACGAATTTTGCGTGCTGGCGACGAGCAGGACATCGAGTACAGTAGCATAGATTGGCCCATAATGGGAGGCGTATTGCCTGAGGAACCAGCACTGTCGGATGAGTCGGAGGAGGCGGTCAAGGAATACGAGATTCTCTTGACCGGCCATGAGGATGGTTCGGTTAAGTTCTGGGACTGCACCGGAGTGGTGCTTAAGCCCATTTACAACTTCAAGACAGCCAGCGTATTTGGGCACGAGAATCAGGATGACTTTCCAGCCGACACCAGCGCCGAGCAGGTGGACGAAAGCGAGCCACCATTCCGTAAGGCGGGTCTCTTTGATCCCTATTCCGATGACCCGCGTTTGGCCGTAAAAAAGATTGCTCTATGCCCCGAAACTGGACAGCTAATTGTGGGTGGCACCGCTGGCCAGATCGTTATTGCCGATTTCGAGGGCGATGCAGTGGAGCGTAATGCTTTGAAATTTAGTTCCATGAACTTGGTGAGCGATCGCGATGGCTTCGTATGGAAGGGGCATGATCAGTTGAATGTGCGCGCCCAGCTGCTTGAGGAAGATGCCCAGCCGGTGGGCGAGCATGGTGTGAACATTACTGGTGTCCTGCAGGTGCTACCACCAGCCAGCATCACCTGCCTGGCCCTGCAGGCCCACTGGGGTGTGGTGTCGGGCGGCACAGCTCACGGCCTGGTGCTGTTCGATTTCAAAAACTTTGTGCCGGTATTTCATCGGTGTACCCTCAATCCGAATGACCTGACGGGTGCTGGCGAGCAGCTATCGCGACGCAAATCGTTTAAGAAATCACTGCGCGAATCGTTCCGCAAGCTGCGCAAGGGACGCTCCACACGCAACAATCCAAGCAATCAGGTGCCCACTACGGTAAGTACGATTCATACTTGGAATAGAAAACAAATTGCCTTACTATGTATGTTTGTTGTAGCTCGAGGCACGACCTGTGGAGCGACAAATCGAGGCACGTTCCACAGACGATGGCATGGGCTCCATGGTGCGTTGTCTGCTGTTTGCCAAGACCTACATAACCAATGGTATGTTCAATTAGGCTTGTTAAGTCTCAAATGTCTTTAATAGACTCTTTATCGTTTCAGTCAATATAACATCGCCGACGCTGTGGTCGGCCACCAATGCCAGCACCGTGTCCGTATTTCTATTGCATTTGCCACCAACACAGACAGCCGCAACAGCCCAGCCTTCGGTAAGTGGCAGTTCCACGCCACAGCTGCCACGTCGCATATCCGCACAGCTGGCCAAGGAGATTCAGCTGAAGCATCGTGCGCCAGTTGTTGGCATTTCCATATTCGATCAGACTGGCAGTCCTGTCGATCAGTTTGGCAGCGGCGTCAATGGCGTGCCACCACATCGTCTCCTGATCGCCTCGGAGGAACAGTTCAAGGTGTTCTCGCTACCACAACTGAAGCCCATCAATAAGTACAAGCTGACGGCGAATGAGGGCGCCCGCATACGACGCATACATTTCGGCTCCTTCAGCTGCCGTGTGCCGCACGAGCTGCTGCAAAGCCTACAAGGCAGCAGTCCGACAAAGTCGACGCGTTCACATGACGCTGGCGATGCCAATACAAGCCTAGCCTCGGCAGCAGGGGCCGGTGAGTTGTATCGGGAAATGGCGTTGATTTGTCTCACCAACATGGGCGACATAATGGTGCTGTCTGTGCCCGAGTTGAAGCGACAACTCAATGTGGCAGCCGTGCGACGCGAGGATATCAAGTAAGTGTTTCAAAAGAGATCCAAAATCTAAAATTAGCAATCTAATGCTCAATATGTTTGCAGCGGCATTTCATCTTTGTGCTTTACCAATGCCGGTGAAGCTCTCTACATGATGTCCTCATCGGAATTGCAACGCCTTGCTCTAGCCACCTCAAAGGTGGTGCAACCTATGGGCGGTGTTGAGGTCGAACCCCTTCAGAATGAAGAGTTGGAGGCGACGCTGCAGTCTAACGAAGATGAGGACAGCGATAAGGAGGGCGAAACGAATGAAGGGGCAGCCAGTACTGGTGCCGCCGTATCAGAAGCCCCGGTGCCGAAAGAGCGTGCCAAAACGCTAGAGCTCACCATAGATAGCAATGGACCGATTTTAACAAACGGCATTGGCAGTGGCAATTCGCCAAATAGGGCCAATGAGACCATTACCAGCTCAATAGGTGACATAACCGTGGATTCGGTGCGCGATCATTTAAATACCACTACAACAACGTTGTGTTCCACGACTACAGAGGAGACTGTGGGTAGGTAGTCGGTTAGCTTGTTGTTGCTTTTGTCAATTGTTGTCCAGACACATTCGCATCTTCGTCATTATCATCTATTGTGTTGTGCCCTCAACTTCAACTTGGAGTGATTGATTCATTGAAAGTGTTTGTCAAACTATTTTGCCCATACGTGTTAATTATATTGTTTGTTTATTTGGCCAAGAGTTTATTTTTGACATTTACTTTTTCACTTTTTTTAGGTTAGCGGCTCAAGCTAAAAATGTTAATTTAATTTTACATTAAACTTAAGGTCGTTTGCACAGTTGAGCGATCACCCACGCACACACACAGTTTTTGCATGCCTGATGTAATGCGTTTGCCAAAAGCCCCGAAAGCAACATTAAATTTAAATTTATATTTATGTTATTACTTGCAATTTCTTATACACCACAATAGGTCGTCTGTCGGTGCTCAGCACACAAACCAATCAAACACACACCAGCGTCAATATGAAGGACATACCTGACTTTAATATACCCAATTTGATGGATCTGGCGCCAAAGAGGTGGGTGCTTATATACACACATACATATTTACATTAGTTCTTTGTTTCAATTTGATTTATTTAATTTTATTTGCAGCAATACCACCGAAACCAGCACCAGTTCTGTGGTCATCAAATCCGTCATAACGAGCATCTCACACGAAAAGACAAACGGCGAAAGTGAACCCGTAACGACCAAGACGACAACGCATGAGGAGAGCCAATTTTAAAGAAACAAAACTAAAACATATCACCACACAAACCGATTTTAGTTTATGCACCTATATATGTAGATATATATAAAAATCATTTACTATTACTATTGGCATGCAAATTTGTGTGGCGCGCACTAAAAAAAATAATCAAAAATATCAATTCAATCTAATTGCATGTCACTGTTCTGTTCTTCGCTAAATTGCAATTTATAATATGTTTAAGTTTTCGTTTTAAGTAACACACAGATACACACACATACATATTTAGTTGAATGTAAACTTCTTCGTGTACCCATACATATGTATTTATGTAATTTTGTTTGCATTATTGACAAAAAATCGCTAAACATTTTGTATTTTCCACCCAACCACCACCACAACCCCATTAGAGAGTACAACAATATACAAAAGCATTTGCCTTACATATACTTATATATAAAGAATTTTTACAACGGTTTTTATACAAGTATTAAACAAGCAGATCATATAAAATATACAAACATATTTTTTACACAGGTATTAACATACCGTATACTTATATTTTTTATATACGACAATCGCGCGTTTTTCCGACCAGCTAAATTCGTTTTTGGCAACGTTTATTTTTGTAAACTGTTAAAACATTGTTAATTGTTTAAGATACAATAAATGAAATGAGGATCTGTGTTTTTGTAAACATTTCTTTTTTTGCACCGTTACTTTGAAAAGATCCGCGTGGTTGCCATCTCAGTGGCAGTAATTGCCTTGCCGTCTGGCAGCACTTTCACGCTCTCCCTCTCTTTCTGTCACTGCCTGTGAAGGTATGGCAACACACTCTTGCTGGCAAGTGATTTAAGATGAAAAACTCGTTGAGTTAAGTTTCAATATTCAACTCGAAAAAAAAGAATTTATTTTTTAACAGACACAGTATGGCCGCAGAAGAAAACAAACAAGAGACCGAGGCGAAGCTGCCGCTGGCAAAGATGTCTTCTGTTAAATCAAAGCTTAAAATCAACTATTGTTGCATTACCAAGGAGTGTAAGTTTCTTAAAAATAATTTTGTAATTTTGGTACCCACAAAATCTTGGTGCAGATTACAGCGAATATACAAATTTAGTTGACTCACTTCACATTTCACCGCGTGTGATAACACATAAGCAAGTATTCAGAAAAAACTGTACCTTCGCCTTGAACTTAAATATACGAAACAGCGGCCTGGTGCGTGTGACATTCTAATATTGAATCGTTTCCTGCCATTATAAAGTACATATTGCAGTATCCACGCTTGATTAAACTGTCTACAGATAGTCCGGAAGACACAACCATAAACGTACCAAATCTGGAGATAAATCGTTTTCTTGGCACCGATCAGACACTGGAAGTGAAGATTGCGATACACAGTAAATCGTCCAAAGAGATCAATCGACGCCGTCATATACTTATTGAGTGCTTCCACCCAAATATTATATTTCAAGTGCCAATTATTGGTAAAGTACCCTTACAAACATTAAACCCCTATTAAGCTCAAAATGTCGCAGTGCTGAAGAACCTAGAGGAGCCATCTATATGCGAAAACTTTGTTTTCCCGGCCTGCGTACCTGTGGCTCCGAACAAAAGCTACTTTGAAATGATCATATTTAATCCCACAAAAGATCCTGTGAAATTGATCTTTAGAAAGTAAGAGGCAAGCATTTAGGTCAGATCATCTAAGTTGTTGTTTATATCGACAGCACCTTTCGTGGACTCACGATGAACACTCAGAGCAATACAATATTGCCCGCCTATGACTTTATGAAGGTTCTGTTAACATTGGAGCCGCGAAAACTCCATGTCTATAAGGGATTTTTCAATGTTAAATTTGGACTATGTAAGATAAGCAGAGAATTCATAAAAGCCACGAAATTAATAGCATTAAATTGATAGCTCCTCCGAAATCGGTGGTTTTTGAATTCACGCCTAAATCAATGGGCGTTAATGTTAGCGCCGGCTACATACGATTCGGCCAACAGAAGTTCATGCAGAGGGAGGACCGAACCGTCACGATATGCAATGAGAGCTCCCATCTCATTAATTTAGCATGGACTTTTCAAACTGACGCCACTGTGAAGTTCAATACAGCTGCCGAAGAGCTGCCTAAGAAACCGTCTGAGGATGCTGTCAGCATGCACAGCATCCTATTGTTTGAGTTCGACGAGGACGCAGTCTCGCATAATGCCATAAGTGAAATGGCGGCTGCGAAACATTTCATCGTCGAGGCACCTACAACAATCGGTGCAGGTAGTGCTTATGAAGTTGTTATAGGATTTCAGCCGCTAGAAGACCCAGAAGTACCGTTTTCAGATGAAACGGATCCGCCCTATTTTCAGCGTTCGAAGGTGTCCTTTTGTTTCACGGATGCCGAGGAGTGCATCGAAACGCATTATATAACGATTGCCGGCGAGATTCTTGGAATCGAAGTTGAGGTATTCCCGAAAATTATTGACTTCCGAAAGATCTATTTGGGCGAAGAGCATTGCGCGCAAATAAAAATACTGAACTCAGATGGCAAGTGCTCTTGATTCCGCAGGTATATAATTCTTCCATTACGTATGCCTTTATCCCGTAGCTATGCATGCGACGGTGCGATTCAAAGACTATCAGGACGTCGCCCAAGGCGGTGTGCACATCACGCCCACGGACGGATTTACCTTGGAGCCGTGCACACGTGGTATTTTCCATTTGTCTTTTTACTCCGTAACCCCCACCCGTTTTTCCATAACACTGCGCTTCAAGGTCAACAACGGACCGCACTACAAGGTGTTCATCAGGTACGGTAAACATGGAATTCCAAAGACCCACTCCTCATCTGAAATCACCCAGAGGCATAGGCCAATATGTGCAGCTCCGCACATTCCCCCAACTCGTCGAGTTTGGCAGTATTCCCATTGCAGTGCCCCAGAAACGATATATGCTGCTAATGAATCCACTGGCCGTGCCTATCACGCTGCAAGTCCATGCCACCGAGGATGGGGAGGAGCAGCCGCTCGTTCTGAACATTCGCGATTCAACAGAAATGCTGCCAATTACCATTAGAGATCCCATAAAACATTTACAAATGGTGCACGAGGATTTGCGTAAACAGGACGTAGATCCTTTAAACGATATCGAACTTGTCGATGATTTGCCCGAAATTAATTCCCTGCAATCATTTCAGCACAATGAGTCGGTTTATAGCTTGGAGTTTGAGGAAGATGTGATGGGTAATTGATTAAAGATTCTCTCTATTCATTGCATAACATCGTGTGCTTTGCAGAACCCGTGCCTGCCTTGGCTGGCCAGCTGCTGAGCAATCTGAAGAAGCAAAAGATATTCGAAAAGTCTGAGACGGACAAACGAGTTATACAGGAGGCTCTGCAAGGCCTGCTCAACGCCAAGTACTTCTCCCAATTCACCAAGCACAATAATTTCATCTTCATGGACTGGAACTCCATACCAAGCGATCCGCAAGAGGTCTACTGTGACAATGAGATCATTTATCTAAGACCCAATACGGGTCGCAGCATTACCATATTGATTATACCGAACAAAGTCGGTTATTTCCATCGATCCCTGACTGTGCGAATTTGTCCTGCAGTGTCGAAAAGCGACGATAATTCCAGTGAGGAGCTATCCAAAATGTTCATCAAATCCGAGTTCTTGTGCTCCAAACTGTGGTTTGAATACAACTGCTGTACCCCGGACATTGAATGGGTTAACTCTGTAGATCTGCGAAATCAAATCATCTATGCGGGTGAAGATTACGATTTTGATATGACCTTTACTAATACATCACATGTCGGTGGATTTCTGCACTTTGATGTTGTTGTAAGTGGATGTATTCGAGTCTTGATGGGGTTTATTTAATTCATTTACCTCAGCCCGCTGAGATGAGTTTTCGCGATGGCACCTGGAAATTTTATTTACCCACCGATTCGCAGACCACTGCCAAATGCTCGGTTACTTTTCGCTCTCTGGGCGCCACAAAGCTGTCGGGACTTATAAGTATGGTTGGCTCCTCGCGTCCCTTCACATTTCACCTCTTCGCCAATGTTCTACCCACCGAAATAAGGATTACGCCCACATTTGTGCATCAACGTTTACAGGTCTTGGAAGTGCACAAAGTCCACTTCTACATAGATAACCATACGCCGACAAATACAAAGCTTTCAATGCGATTGGTAAGACAGAGAAAATCATACTATACTGCTTATCAGCCTCAATACAATTCGTACTACCTCAGAAAGATAGTACCGATCAGTATATAACCTTGAGTGGCAATATATTGGCCGCTACAGGGCAAAGCATGTACACTACCCTAGTCTCGGTGTTTTCCGACCCGGATCTATATCAGAACATTTTGTACATTGATCTGCAATTCGATCATGTGATGGTAATTCAGCTATGATGGAAAACCAGAGTTCCAATAATTAGTTGATCGTTTCAGGAAATTCCCATCACCTTTCTCGTTGAAGGGGTGCCCTTGTACTTCGAGCCGAACATAAGAGAGGGCTTTGATGCCGGCCTGCTGATAACCGACCCAGTGGAGCTTTTCCAGGAGAATGTCTACCGCTATCGTTTCCCGGTGAAGGTCATCAACAAGGGTAGACGGTCGTATCGTCTCGTCATTACACGCTTGAAGACCTATAGCGCTTCAAACAGAACCACTGCCTGCGCAACACAATCCCTAACAGCACGCTTCGACATGGTACCCAAGCATCTGTTAATGCCACCCGAGGGCATCGACTATCTGGAGATACTGGTCAGTGGTATGGAGCCGGGGGTCTTCTATGGAGATTTTAGACTGGAGGTCACTGATCTTAAGTATCCCAATCGCAAACATGTGATACGTGTCACAACAAAGGCCACTTTCGTGGACTGCCAGTTGTCCTGGAGTCGCCGTCAGGTAGTCTTCAACTACCAGCGCTGCAATCCTTTGAAGGAGCGATCCTATATTGAGACACCGGAGCTCATCAACGCCCACAATGTGCTCATTGATGAGGTCCATCTGCAAGCGTCGGGACCCTTTCGAATCAAAGAGCTCTTTGAGCATGACTATGAGAAGCACATAAAAATCCGTCTAAACCCATTGGAGCGCAAAGAGATTTTTATTGTCCTGAACCGTGCCCATCTGAAGCAATTCTATTGTAAGCAAATCGAAGGACATGTCAATGTGATTGCTGCCGGGAAACTGCAAAAGTCACTCAAAGTTAAGATCAATATTTTGATGCCGGAGATGCGGATATTACAGCCGGAGGTGGTGCTGTTTGCTCAGCTTCGTTCCTTCGACACCTTTGTGGATATTATGAATCTGGGCTGCCTACCCGGCGACTTCAAATGGCAGCGTTTGGATGTGAGCGAGCAGTATATTGGGGACTTGGACGATCCTGCCGACTGTGTAGCCGAACTGCTATCCGAAATTTTACGCATGCTCGAATACAATTTCAGCTGTGACGACGAACCCAACATGACGTTACGCTACCAGCAGTGTCGGTGTCAGTTCCATCAGGAAACTGAAACCAGCAATCTGGTGCTGGATATCATTGATGAGATCATTAACGATCTGGATCTGGCTCATCGCCGTCTCCTCATACACATGGAAGACGTGACGCCAACCTTGGACAACAGCGAACTGCATAGCTCCACAAGTTTTGTTGAGCGCACCATCTACGATATACTGGACAAGCTGAATCTGGAGTCCAGTCAGCAGCTATCGCCGCCCTCCTCGGAATATTGCTTTGCCGAACGCTCCATATTCTTTTATGAGAAGTGCGGTGTCTTGGAGGCGGACCAGTCGCTCCAATGCCTGCTTCATCTGCCCTACATACGTCGAGCCCATGAGATCAAGGCCATTTTTCAGTTGAATGTTGTGGGCGGCATTAGTCAGTGCCTCTCCGTAACGCTCGTCAATTTGACGCGACAGATTCGTTTCCACAAAGACAATATATACCTCAATGTCAGGGTGAGTTCCGCAAGCCTAGTATGGATTACATTTTTTAATGGTGAGTAATGCCAGTCAATTGCCCGCAGCCCTGGTACGAGACCTTCAACACCACAATACGTTTGACCAACGTAACCCGATATCCATTGCATTTGCTCATTGCTGAGCTCAATCGCGGACCGGCGGAGAAGCGGCTGATCGATGGCTTTGCCAAGCTCGTGGACGGCGATACACTATACATGGAGCCCATGGGCAACGGCAAAATAAATGTTTTGGGCATTCTCGGCTTCAGCGAGAACTTCAATCGCAACTTCGGCGTGATCATCAATACCACCGCCTCGACCTTCTTCCGATTGCGGGGTCAGGGCGTGTTGCCCATTTTGAGCATGAACACAGATCTGCCTAGAATGGAACAGGATCAGCAGGAGATCATGGAGGAATATCGTTTGCTACGTAACATATACAACTACGAGATATTCAAGAGCATCACAGAGTTCGATGAGGAACCGAAGGTGTCCATTGGTGAAGAGGAGGACGGTCTGGACGAAGATAAAATAAGCAGCGATTTCAGTGAGATTTCACTATCCGATGACGAGATGTCCAGTGAGCGACAGCACTGGCACGATCTGCATTTCTTCAAAATGGTGCAGAGCTATGTGATGGTTATTAACAACCAGGAGCTCCCCAATGCCGTCGTACTCAAGCAAATGCTCGAGACAGAGCGCTATTTGCAACGCCTGCGCAGACAACCGGAACTCTATGCTATCCATAAAAAGGTCTATCTGGAGTATGAGAAAGCGTTCAAGGTGGTCAGCTATAAGCTGCCAACGAGTGTCAAGCACTTCACCGTACAGCCCATACCCTGCCAACAACATGGCTATATCCTGAACTTGGGCAAGTTGCGCTTAAACTCCCTGCGCCGCTTCGAATTTCGTCTGCACTTCTTCGGGCCGGGAAAACTAATTGCCGCCGCACGTACAGCTGTCAAGATACCGGGGTTGTATGTCGATTTTTTGGTGGACAACCAGTAAGTCAGTTCCATTCTCTATTCCTTGAACAGTTGCTTCAGGCCATTACTTTCAGTGATGATCTGAAATTCACGTATTGGGCCGAAAAGTGCTATGCCCCCGAGTTCTTTAACAAGAAATATCGCAACATGCTCGAACGTTTGATGGATGCCGAGAAGGATCCAAGGTTGCAGCACGCCCATTCCTTCGATATTGATGATTTCAAGAAGCATCAGCGCGACATTACGGACACAGATCGTCGATTAATAGATGAGTATTACAACAGCCTCAATCTTTCGGTCTATCCAGACCACAAGCATCACTTTATGTTGGCCAAGATATATACGAGCCACCATTCCAACTTTTCGGGCATTGACTTGCGTGTTGTTGGACTTTACAAGCCCGAATCAAAATACTACGAGGTGGGGCAGTTACTGGAAGATTTCATTTATATAGATGTAAGTCTTACAATGTAATGTAATTCATTAGTGATAACATCTCCATTTCAATTTCAGTTGCATTTGGGGCCAACATTGCCAATTCTGCTACGCGGAGTTATGGCCAACGAATGAGATGCTATGATGTCTCTTACTATTTTTTTTTTAAATGTAACTTTTAAGGCTGAACAATAAAAAGAAGCATTTCTTTTAAAAAAGTTGGAATTAATTTTCTGAAACCAGGAGGGGTTTATTATTTTCCCGAATTTACATTTTATTGTTTGTAAACTTGCACTAAATTTTAAGATTGCAAAATCTCAAATATATAATATTTAAAGTTCTCAAACTGTTCGTTGTTTTCTTCAGAGAATGTATTTTTTAACACTCTCTCTTTATTCTGAATTTTCTCTCTTTTTGGAAATCTCTTGATCTCTACATTTAAAGTATTCTTTAATACTGTCTCATTATTCCGAATATTCTCTCTTTTTGGAAATCTCTTGATTTCTACATTTAAAGTTTTCTTTAATACTCTCTCTTCATTCTGAATATTCTCTCTTTTTGGGAATCTCTGATCTCTACATTTAAAGATTTCAACATTTTTAGAAATATCAAATATTCTACGTAACGGTTTGGTTTTTCATACTTTGATTGAAAGCGTTTCATAAAGTACGTTTTCGATTCTCTTGAACTGGATCTGAGCACCAAAGCTGTTAACTCAATCATCGGGAACTTTGGAATAAAACTTTCCGATATTAGGGGAAGTCTCGGTTACTGTCATTGAAGAGTTTTAACTGGAAACCCCAATTAATGTCCATTAAACAGTACGCATGTTTGAGTTTCAAATAAAATGTTTTGGAAATATTTAAAAAAGCATTTCTCTTGAAATATAAATATTAATAAATAATAGTATATATAAATATTATAAGTGAATGAAATGTTTTGAGTTTTGAAATAAAAAGTTTCAAAAAGTTGTTGTTTTATTTGTTCCAGAATTTGTATCTGAAAGACAATTATTCTTTACAATTTAAATGTGTTTATTATTATTATTATTGTAACTAAAATTGATATAGTAATATTTTAAAGTTGTGGATTAAAACCATTCGAAAATGCTTAAAGCTTTTTAATAAAATTTGAATACAACTTATATATGTAATGGCTACATAAATCTTTGAAATAGGAAATTTTGGAATTATTTCTTAAATATCTTCCAGATATTTTGAATTCTTTTAAATATATTTAAGGAGTTCTTCAACTTATTAAGTTTTGAATAAAAGGTTTTAGAATTAATTTATAAAACTGTTAGAATACTTCGTGGGTTTTTTATTAAAATATTATTTAATTTTATGTGCAAAAATAGGTTTACAATGAACAGGTGACCTCATCAGCAATACATATTGAGTTGTCTGAAGAAGTAGTGGAAAATGAGCAACACAATAAAGGAGCTCGTCACTGGTAGTCCTGCCGCCTTAATCCAGCCCAGTATATTATAGTCGTCGGGATAGTATTCGAAGGGTTCAGTGGGCATCTCGCCACAATTGGAAATAACCACGGGCTCTATGGGGAAGTCGTCAGTGTCCGTTTTGACCTGTAAGGAGGGGGGAATTGGAATGGTTTCGAACTGGCTTACACATGACCTACGTCTTCGATGGCATAGATAGTGTCCATGCCGTCCAATACTTTGCCAAATACTGTATGCTTTCCATTCAGCCAGGCAGCCGCCACGGTAGTCACATAAAACTGGCAGCCATTGGTGTTGGGTCCACGATTTGCCATACCCAGATAGCCGGGACGATTGTGCTCGACATTGAGCCCCTCATCCGGAAAGAAATCACCATAGATGCTCGTCGAACCGGTGCCATCTCCATTGACTATGTCTCCACCTTGCACCAGAAAGCGATCCACAATCCGATGGAACTTGGAGCCCACATAACTGGTTCCGTTGATGCCGCGCAAGCAGATGTGTCGAAAGTTGGCAGCAGCTTTGGGGGCCAGTTTGCCGAAAAGGCCAAAGGTGATCCGACCCAGTGGCTGCCTATTCTGCTTAACATCCATATATATTTTTGAGGTTACGGTGAAGCTGAGCGCCTCGATGGTGGCCAATTGGCCAACGCCGACCAGAAATATTATGCCAATGAACTTCATAGCTCGCTACCACTGCTCCAAAAGTGTTTGTGCAACGCCGCCGTATGATGAAATACTAGCAACTGAATCGGCATTTCAAAACGCTGCCCAGAAGAGGACAGCAAGCCACGGAATAGGGTGTTAGAGAAGCCATACAACATTTAGGTTAAGTGCAATAAACTAAAGCGCGACTGCCCTCCTAAACTTAAAATCGATTTTTAATTTTCCTCCGCCTATTTGTTTTTGTTTTCCCTTCTCTGCTTCTGTTTTGTGTCAGCAATTTCCATTTCCGCCAAAGGTGGATAGAGATTGGAACACATATAGTATGGTACGGAACCAATTAATATTATAGACTAGGCCATCAAAAATATTGAAACAAATGAATGGTAGCCATTTAGCACAAGACTTGTGAAATACGGAGTTTTAAACAAAATTTTCAAAAATGATTTTTTAAATTTGAATTAAAAAAATTTTTTTTTAAATGAACAGTTGGATTTTGATTAACCGTAAGCTCATTATGCATAATCGAAATTCCCGGTTAAAATAGAACATTCAACACATGTATTATTATTATACTTATGTGATATCTTAATTTATTTCGGAAAATTTTTAATTAGAAAATTTGTTCAGGTAGTATAGATTTCAAATTGATTTCATCATTTTTGATTACATTTTTCTAAAATATAATATAATACAACATTAAAAAAAAGAAACTTATCTTGGATCCCATAGAACATGCTATATGTATTTACATCTAAAATAAATCTGGAATCGTGCATAGATTTTCTTATAGTTTTGTATTTATTTTATTATAATTTTTATTTATTTTATAATTTAGATATTTAATTATTTTTTTATATACATATATATTTGATTATTTTTTGCTTTTTATTATTTATTCTTATTTAGCTTTTCAACTTTATTTGTAAGCTAAATCGTGTTACGTTGAGTTTTTGAACCGTTTTCATACCATATTTTGTCACTGTGGGTTAACATGTTAACACGATTTTTGTACTCCCTACAGAAACGTTTAAAAAATTTCACAGCTACATAAAATAATTTAAATAAATAAAAAAATAAATATTTCTCTCCTCCAAATGCTTAGAAAAGTTATCATATGTCGTGCCAAGCTTCGCCTTCTTCTTTAGATGTATAAAAAGGGTATTTGATTAACGGGCATGCTTGACTATTCATTCCCGCTTGTGTTGCATAAATAATTAATAATCATAATTAATAATAATTATACCCATAGGTACTACGACCAGAACCAGCCGTAACAGACTTCACAAAGCATATTTCTATAAATATACACACATATAAGGTGACGCGAGTTAAAAAACCCATATCTCTCCGCCTGTCTTTTAAAATTCAAGAATCTCCAAAAATCTACCAATTAAACGTTTTCTATTTCGAATCAGTATACAAGTATAACTTCCGGAACATACATATTATGGAGAAACTGCTGTAGAATCAATAAAATATTATAAATTGAAAGCAAAGCTTAATCTAATATAGCGCCGAGTCAAATCCTAATATTTTGGAAATAAGTAATACCATTTTAAACAAATCTGAGTCAAGGATATCAATAATTTTATGATATCAAAATACTTAGTTTTATGCATTTTTTAAAAAACAATGCCACTATAAATTGACCCACAAATTCAGATTATTGAGCAAATTAATATCATTATTGATTTTCGTCAAATCATTTCCATCAAATGTTATAACTAAAACAGTAGTACAGTATCCCAAATGATTTTAGGGAAACTTCAAGCAATAATTATATCCTGGTGAGACATTAATCATTAACTTTCACAAAATGCATTAATTTTTGAGGGATCTGAAAATTATAGGCTCCTGTTTACTTCTTTTTTTCCCAAAGACGGAACGTATTAATAGGCTCCCTATCAAGGCCTATTGCATACTACATACTATATATCAGAAAACTCAAGGACAACTTTGAAAAGTAGTTCGCACACATATTAAACGGCATAGTTTTAGTTTATTGTTTACATTCACAGTAATGACTTGGTCTTTATTAATAATACATCATAATATAAGTATAATTAGGTGTGAATTGTTACACGTATAAAAATTTGAACTTAACTATAATGGTACATATGCTTCTATATATGTACGTATAAGTATGTATGTACTTGTATTTATAATTATATTAAGCGATAACCTAATGCTGGCTCAAATAAATCAGGGAGTAAATGTCCAATAATCCATTAAAGAGCAATAATTAACGCTATAATTCCGACTATACATCTTTATGATCTTTATGTTTGTATTAAATGCGGAACATAAGAGGATAGTCTTGAAAATAGAAAAGTAAACGATAGCCGGCATCTCTTACAAGCTAAGCTTCTATATGTATATGTATGTCGCTATAATATGCTATTCGATAGATATATATGTACATACCAGGAGGCAACTGGCTACAGTCTTGATTGGGCAGGTGGCCATAACATGTAGTTATCCTTCAATTACAATGCATGCCATATCGCAGAAGGGAGTTGAGTGTGTTTTCTTGCTTGTATTTTTGAGATCTACGATTTCGAATCTTCCGCAGAAGATTCGGGCATGTCCTACATGCGGTTCTTTTGCGGATGCACATACTTGCAGGACTTGCCCATGTGGCAATGTCCTCGCATGAATTGCTTGCAAATGCCATTGCCTCCCCCGCCACCGCGATTGGAGCCAGAGCCTGCTGAGCGCCAATTGCCGCCGGAATTTTCCTGGAAATTGTTTCCACCACTGCGCCAATTGCCACCACCACCGCCTTTGATGTTATTCCGATTATTGTTGCGCGGTCCACCGCCGTTAGGCATGGGACCGGGACCCATGCCATTATTCATGGGTCCGTTCATCATCATGGGTGGAAAATTCATGTTATTAAAGCCCTGCGGAGGTCCAGGCGGACCAAAGGGTCCAGGATTGTTGAACTGATTTCCCATAAAGGGGCCACCGCCGACACCGACACCTCCAGCCATTACATTAACATCCATGCCTGGTCCAGGTCCTGGTCCCGGTCCATTCATCATAGGTCCGGGAGGCATCTGATTATGCCAAATTGGTGGCGGTCCTGCCCCCGGTTGTGGCAAATTAACCGGCATTGGTTGGTTGGGCGGCATGTTGGCGCCATTCGGCATAAAGTTGTTGCCGAACGGCTGGAATGGACCAGGACTCATCATATTGGGTGACATGCCAGGCATCATCATGCTATTCATATTATCTGGGAAGCCCACATCCACGCTATTTGGTGCAAATCCCTTTGGCTCCGGCCAGGGCGAAGTGCTGAAATCGTTGACTGCATCCGGATTCCCGGTGAGATCGTCAATGGGTATGAGCGGTATGTCGTGAGCAAAATGCGGCTCCAGCTCCGCCTCTGCCGGGCTGTCGGGTATCATGTCTGGTGTGAAGTAGAGAGCCCGTAACGTGGTCGCCTCGCGTTCCGCCTGCACCTGACGCTGTGTGGACAAATTGCCATTAGGATGATTGGGCACATTGTCCACCTCGATGAGTGGTCGCCATTCCATTTGCGGCTCCATAATGTCATCGAAACCGCGACGTGCAATGGTCAGAGCGTCGCGTTCACTGTAACGTTCCTTGTTCTGCATCTCCACGAATGTCTGCTTGGTTACATTGATGCGCTCCGAGCGATCGACCTCGAAGTAACGTATCTGCGTTAACTTATCTTCTGGCTGCCAGGTTAGCTTCTTCTTCGGACCCTTGCGCCGGTGCAGCATGAGCACGCCCGGTGGCCCGTCGGGTCCACAGCCGGGACCAGGCTTCCTGGGTTCCTCGGGCGTAGTATCCTCGACATCTTCGGGGCTTTTGCTGCCCTCTTCGGCTCTATCGCCGCCACCTGCCTTCTCCTTCAGCACCTTCTGCTCGATATCCTCCTTCACCCTCTTCAGTGGTATGTCATCATCATCCACATCGGCGGCATCTTTGCTGGGCGAAGACGTTCTATGTTCATCATTTTCCTTGCTGCTGTCATCCAGTTTCTCTTCTGATTTTGACTCGTCCAATGTGTCCTGATAGAATTTCAATGGCGCCAATGGTGTGTCCTTCTCTGTAGGCGATGTCGCCGTCAGAGGACGCTTCCGCTTCACTACCTTCTTCGGTTCGATCGATGCGGTAAGTGCATCCGAAAACAGATTCGTCTCGACCAAGGTTTGTACTGTAGGCGAGAAAGAAGAGGAGAAACAAAAATACATAAATGAGTAATGCAAATAATTAGGAATTCGGTTCTTTTTTTTTTTCTTTCTTTCAGAAAACATTGTTGGAGATTTGCTTTTATTGTGGCTGTTGAACACTGCATGAGATTCTGAGAAGAGAGATATGTACATACATATATATATTCGAAAGATTCAGCATCGTCCCGCATAAAACGTGCGCAGCTCAACCAACAGACATGACGGTGCGATCGTTCAATGAACCAGAAACATCCAGAACGCTGTTCGAGCTTATTTATAAGATAAACAAATAAAACGCGCCCATGTTCTCAGACTTTGGTAGCGACATATTAAAACACCCAAAATGTAGGCGCCTACTCTTGTTTTTCCCCTATAGCTAGTATTACTTATTCAGCTCGAATGCTCCCCTGTTCAGACAAGCAAATGCCATTTGATTTATGTGTATAGAGGATATACAAAAAATGTGTACTCTTCGTTTGATTTTTGTTCATAGATAACACACAAAAAATATATAATCGTTCAGTCATTGAAGTTTCGGAAAACAAACAGACTATTTGTCTAGAGGATTTGAAGCAGTTCATGAACTTGCAAATAAATTTATAGATTCACATAAATTGAAACGGAATATCTTTCAAATTCATGAACGAGTAGCTTACTAAATAAAAGGTACATATAAGATTCAAATATAAACATTTTAGATTTGTGTAGATTAGGTTCAACTGTTTAAAAACCATCAAAAAACACAACTATTCACATAGTCGGAATTTTTACGAGTTCGTTTGGATGTCATATTTCAGAGCTACGTTTTTGATGTAGAAACATCTTTTAGATTCACATGTGTTGAAGAATAAAATTAAATGTGTATTGTCACGGATAAATAAATTTTGCGTTTTCATATGTAGATCTACTTTTGACACAACTCTATAACTTGATTATGGATCTTCGGAAGCCATGAACTGCCTCATTGTCCGAACAGGGTTTTAAATTGATTTGAAACCTTCTTGAGGTGATATATCACATGTAAATAAGGTCAAGCCATATACAACACCTATAGGCCATGTAGGGGCATGTTCAATAAGCGCTACCAAACTTTAAGAACCGCCAGCTCAAAGTTGATCATATTTTGTTTTTATGCATTTATCTTTTTATTTCAATAGAAAATTTGTGTTTTTCTAAAGGAAAATTTGTATTTATTCGTATGTAGACTCATTAGTTGATAACCTACATACATACCTTAAGATCTTAGGGCTATGTTAAGCATATTTGTGTATTTCTTATTGGTTTGTTTCGTTTTTAAAATTTAATACTTAACACCATGTAGACAGGTTGTCGTCTCCCCGAAGCGCATGCGCTCTGCGTTTGCCTCATCTATGGGATGTGTCGTCAACCAAATTGCGTGGGATCGGTGCAGAACATCGACGTAGAGAGCTCCAAAGCCCTTTTAGTTACAGGAACTTGTCGTCCTCGCAGCAATTCAATTACATACACACAAAAGTGTTTAACCATTTGCAACAAAAGCCTAATTCAATGAGTACGACCTCATTTTTATAGCCCCACATTTTAAAAAAATTGCAAGAGAATATTCGACAAATGAACTCATCGTAACTCTTCGAAACCCATTGCCTCCCAAGCGAAAATAAACCCATTCATCAATAAATTGAACACTTTGCGCGTACTCTCTCTTTCTCAACAAATAAAAGCAAATACCAACAATGTCCTGTAAATAGACAGAGAAAACTCAAGATTATTAGGGATTCCCTTCAAAATATACTCACTCTTTTTGGGGGCTATCAATTTAGCAGCACCGGGACGCTCCACATGACCGCTGACATTGTTGATGTCGATCTTGGGTTTCTTCTCGCTGGACGTCTCTCTTGGTGGTGGAGATGGACGCTTTAATGTGGTGGTCAACAACGCGGAAGGCATTGGGGTGGATGATGTGGGTTTCTTAAGGCCCTTGCGGGACGGCGGTGGTGGCGCTTCTTCTGTAAGACCGTGAGAACGGAATTTCGACTGATAGGTTTTCACCGTAGCCGCCTTTTCCGTATCACGACGTATCTCTATTGAAATCGAAGCCTTTCGAGAAGGTATGGAAATCGATTTCGGCTTAGACGCCTCGCTTTCAGCTTCTTTCGACTTTTTATCTGTTGCAACAGTAGCCGCCGCAGTTGGTGGTGGCATCAGTTTGTTGTCTTTTTCCTGATCAGTTTTCTTGGAAAGTGTTGCTGATCTCTCCTTGTCTTTATCACGACTACTACGATCTTTGGATGACGAGCTAGAGGACGATTTGGAAGAGGATTTATGCTTGCTCGATGATGTCGACGACGATGACGAGCTACTACTACCACCTTCTTTACGATCTTTATCTTTGCTAGAACTTGTCCGCGACTTGTCTTTGTCGCGTGATTTGTCCTTGTCTTTGTCACTCGAACTGCGATGAGAGGAAGAGCTCTTCGAAGAGCTTTTAGAGGAAGACGACGACGATTTATGGCTAGATGATGATGACCTGTGACTGGACGATGACTTTCTGTCCTTGTCACGATCTTTCTCAGACCTTTTGCTCTTATCACGTGAGCTTTTGTGTTTTTTATCAGCCTCATCCCCTGCCTTTACATCAGTTGAACAACTATCGTCTAAATTGGATAAATCATTTGTCGTATTTGCATCTGCCCCATCACCACCCGCCTCAGTTGATGGCAAGGAACTGTCATCTTCATTTGAAATACCTTCCGCAGACGCCGCTGCAGATTTGTCAACAGGTTTGAATTTTAAAACTATACTCTCGCCATTGGGTTTGCGAAGTGCAGAGGTAATGGTGTAAGTAACAGGTGCACCACCACTATCTGTGCTGTCTGAAGAACTATTTTCCGCAAATTGGGATTGCTTTCCGCCAGACATCGAGGAACCAGAACCATTGTTTGACGACTCAGATGCCGGCGACGCAGCAGCTGCCACACCTGGTTGTGTCCCCACTGTAGCTGCAATTTGGGAAGCATTTGCCGAAATGCCACTGGGATTTTCCGTAACAATTTTAAGCCACTGTTCGACAAGGCGTTTTGCTAAAATTCGAACTCCTGTAATAACATGATCATAAAACACATATCAGAAAAGGTTTCGACACACATATACGACTTAATAAGGTAAAACAACAACAACGACTCTTACCTTCATTGCCGCCATCTTTGCATAATCCCTTTACAAGGACCGGCGCGGAATTAATTTTTAGCCTGTTAACGTCGACCGGGGAGAGCAACAGCAGTTCCAAGATCTCCTGCACCAGGGGCCAATTCATCGCTCGAATGGCATCATTAAGCCAGGTATAAACGAGGGACCACCCACCAACAGCCATAAAATCTCCTAATAATTCCGTTTTTGTCGACTTTAGTATTTGAACGTAGACGCATTTCGATACCAGCTTCTTCGAATACTTTGCCATCAGACTAGAAAATAAATTGTTGAAGCATGCATTTTACAATAGATGGCGCCACTCAATTAACAGAGTCTAACTTACCCAGCAATACGTTTTACTTCTGATGAACTCAAAATTCCACCATTATTATCTAAGAGCACCCGCAGGCACTTTAGTAATTGCAATGGCACTATTCGAGGCTGTGAATCAAGGAAATTATAATATTGAGGGAATTGATCGTCGTTAGTTTTATTCAAACAACTCACCATTTTCTGTTAAATAAAATTAAAAAGATACGGCAGCGCCGCTGATGAACTTTACAACAGTTGTCTCTTTCGCGCACGCGTTTTCGAGGTCGTGCGTGTATGGGTTACAGAAAAAAATGTGTACCTATATGTAGATGTATATTTATGGGTTGATTGCAATGTCCGCAGATTACGTAACAATGGCCACCCTCAGTCCATTCAACTATTATTTTCTGTTTATGTTTAACAAATCCAATCTAAAATCAAAATAAAAACACATTCTAAGTCCGCAATAAATTGACCTCATGTTTCCGACCACTCAATTCACTTTCAATCAGCGACGCAATATTAATAGCTGCAGTTTGACCTCAAAAATGCGTTCCAACTCGCAATACGTTGGCCTAATAGCAGCCCTGCACAAGAGATGACAACTCGTTTAAAGTTATATATTTCTCGAAAAAACAATACTTTTGAATAAATTCGCTACGGAAATACGTTTCTCAAGATCGTAATTAAATTTTTACATACTTTTCAGAACGTAGTTTTTCCAAATATGTACATTTAAAGTCAAGTTTTGCTGGAATTTACTCCAAGTTGGCAGCACCATGACGTGACTCAGCCACGTCGACGCCTTTGCGACGCCATATTGATTTTTCACAAAATTTCACAATGCGTAGTTTACGAGTTTATTATAATTCGGCAGCAGAAAAGTACATGCTTTGGCAATAAAATACCCGTGAATTCCACTTAAAACCTTCTGCAATAGCAAATAACCATTCGAAGAAGTTTTATGCAGTTTTTATGCACGACACGGCCACGCCCCCAAACGTGGCATCGCCTTTTTTCGTCGACGACGACACAAAATGGGGAAAAATTAAACCTTCGCTCCCACTAGGAAATATATGCAAGAAATTGTTCGACGAAGACTACTAGTTTTATTGGGTTTAACGATTTGAAAGCTTTTATTGCGTCGCTTCTTTGGAAAGTGAAGTGAAGCCGTGCTCAACAAAAAGGACGTCCAGACTCACCCAATAATAAAGACCGAATGAATCGACGCTGTTAAATCGATAATACAGTTAACGCATCATATACATAAATTAAGTTGCCACCAGGGTGAACAATATTGAAAAATGGCAGCTCATAAGTGTTGGAAAGTGTGTATTTTCGCAATATGTGGCAGGTCCTATCAGCTGTCATAACAAACGTGCACGGGGCTAAATTTGTTGTTTTATTATTGTAAAAGCATAAATTCACAATAAATTCGTCAAAATGAGCGACAGTGAGGCAGAAGAAACTCACAAGAATAGCACCGAGCCTGTAGACAATGCATGGTCGCTTAAAATACCGACATTCAAGCGAGACGACAATCCACATGGCCTGGTCGAGGAGAGTTCCTTTGCCACGCTGTTTCCCAAGTACCGGGAAAAATATCTCAAGGAGGTATGGCCACTGGTGCAACAATGTGTGGCGGAACACGATTTAAAAGCAGAGCTGGACCTGGTAGAAGGCAGCATGGTGGTAAAGACTACGCGCAAGACCTGGGATCCGTACATCGTCATTAAAGCCCGTGACATGATCAAGCTAATGGCACGCAGTGTGCCCTTTGAGCAGGCAAAGCGCGTATTACAAGATGAAATTGGTTGCGACATTATTAAAATAGGGAACCTGGTACACAAAAAAGAAAAATTCGTCAAACGCAGGCAACGTTTGATCGGACCAAATGGCGCCACTCTTAAATCAATCGAGCTGCTTACTGACTGCTATGTTCTGGTGCAGGGCAACACAGTAGCCGCTCTAGGTCCTTACAAAGGTCTGCAGCAAGTGCGCGATATTGTGTTGGAAACCATGAACAATGTACATCCCATCTATAATATTAAGGCACTTATGATTAAGCGCGAACTGATGAAAGATCCGAAACTGGCCAGTGAAGATTGGTCGCGTTTCCTGCCCAAGTTCACAAACAAGAACATCAGCAAACGTAAGCAGCCCAAGGTCAAGAAGCCCAAGAAGGAATACACGCCATTCCCGCCAGCGCAACCAGAAAGCAAGATTGACAAACAACTTGCCTCTGGTGAATATTTCCTCAACAAGGAGCAAAAGCAGGCCAAGAAGCAGCAGGAGCATAACGCCAAGCAAGCTGAGGCTGCCAAGAAACAAGATGAGCGTCGTAACAAGGACTTCGTGCCCCCCACTGAGGAGGCACCAAACCGCAAGCGCAATGCTGAAGATGCCAACACACGAGTGGATGTGAAGGCTCTGAAAGCAAAGCTGGTCAAGGCGAATAAAAGTGTGAAAAGTTAATATGTAGGTGACTGTTCCGATATATCAGCTCTTAGCTATTAAGAATGTTTTAAATTTAAAATAAAACGCGTAATTAAAACTATGACAGCTTGATATTTTTATGTTGGTAATGCTAACCGTTCATTTCGAAGAGGGCTTGCTCTCGCTCTCTGGCAACTTCGCATGCGCACATAAGCAAACAAGTTGCCGTTGCTAGAGATGGCGCTTTTTGTGTGAAGATCTTACCTGTGAATATAATTTAAAGGTGTTAGAAAGAATCCCACACACCCAGTTAAAGCTGCCATATATTTAAATTAAGAATCCGCTTTGGTTAGGCGATGGCTGCAAATAGTATATGCGTTATGAATTACTGTTTCATGATCGTGAATAAACATTTCGTCACGCACTCATCTCTACTTGGCTTAGCTCTGCAGGCTAACTGCTAGCCGGCCAAGTTAGTACGTACAGTAGTTATTTTGGTCTGGCCTGAAATGTACTAAACGCGGCCATTGCGGATAACGCTCGCGTGCGTTTTTACAATAATAACAACAACAACAGCAGCAGTTCGTTGCGGCTATTATTATTTTTTCAGTTATTTTCTATATTGCTGTGGCTGCGTCGGAATTTTCGCTATTGCAACAACAACAGCAACGGTAATACAAACGGCGACAATTTCAAAGCTTCGATTTTGTTAAAAAGTGTTTTAAAGTGTTGAAAGCGCATTGTTTGTGGCCAATATAAAATAATAGAATTAGAAAGAAAAGAGAACAGCCCAACAAAATCGTGAACGGGAACGAGAGTTCGAAAGCCCGCATACAAAACTAAAAATAAAAGAAAAAAGACAGGTAAAGGTAAAAAGAAGTTGTAACTCGCCGCTTGGATGATTGTCAAATGTGAAAGAGAGAAATTAGACAGTGCAAACACAATTACAGTTAGTTTTTATGTTTATGTTTGAATTAAAATAATAAAAGGCAGCGAAAATGTTTTGGAGTGAAGTGAAGATTAAATTGCCTTCTAACGCCAACCGAGTGCATGTTGTTTGAAAACCAGTTAACAAACGCCAAAAAGGCTAATTAGAAAAGAATTCACCAAGTGAGAGGAAGACGATAGTGTGATGAGCTATGTTGGAGATAATCTGCCAATATATGTAATTGTTACCGAGATTCTTGTCTCTCGACGTGCATGTGTGTGAGTGATTTACGTAAAGGGAAGAGATATGCATATGTAAATACATTCGTATGTTTGTATATTGAGATATCTATGTATGAAAAGCGGTTAATTAGAATACAACAGCTAAAAGATAGCAATTGTATGGATGTATATATGTACATACATACATATGTATGTATGCGAGTATGCGTAAGTTTAGTTGAATTAGTGAATGAACAAAAGCATTGAAAATCAATACGAAAAACCTGCCGCCGCTCCCACTTTATGCGAGCGCACATTCACACACACTCACGTGCACATACATACACTCATGCATTAAGTACCTGTGCATACCAGTGTGTACATACAAACATAGGCGTTTGTGTATGTGTTGTGTGTAAAAAACTCATAAAAATATCAACAAAGCAAGAGAAAAACAGGTGGAAAAGAAAGCTTAAAAAATGCGGTCGGTCAAAAAGTAAAGTTGCAGCAGACGCAGCGGGGACAAATCAGAGTTACCTTTAAAAAAAAACCGCACAGCAACAGGCACATACTGACACTCACACAATCACTCACATCCATACATATGTATCTGGGCAGCTGCGCACGTCAGAGTTAGACTCACAGCTACATGTGTATGTATGTATGTACATGTGAACCTGTGGCTCAGGTTGCTGGCACGCATGCGCGCAAAAGAGACAGCTATTGTACACAGTTCGCGGACTCGGTACCTTTCCTTCGACCCCTCCACAACTGTAACTGAGCTCCAAGTCTAACTTTGTGCTCAAGAGCTGGTTTTCACAACAACAACAATAGCAACTATGACAACAACAACAACAACGAAAGCGACAAAGAAAAACAAAAACGTTTGTTGTTTTGACTTGAACTCAAAAATATTTCGGCAACAACAAAAAATATGCTAGCAATGTTTATCTTAATTTGTACATGGGTATTTACATACAAATATAAATATGTATGTATGTTTGTATGTAGTCGTTGCGTGTTAGGCCTGCTGCTTAAATAAGCAGATACCATTGTGCTCATTTGAAATGTGTTTTTGAAAAATTAATACCCATCTGAACGGCGAGCTGATAAAAAAAAAAGCGGCAAACGAGGCGTCAAGACTAATGACTATAGCTTTTCCACATGCCAGCTATGTACATACGTACTTGTTTATCTCATTTTAATTAATTATATTTGCAAGTAAGCGTGTGAGCGACCGGCCTTTTAACTTTATCGCTGTTGACCATTTACAGTTTGGAATTTGCGCAAGATTTACGAAGCAACCAAAAAAAATATTTGTGGTGCCAGTCGCCTTGGAGCTTCATTTACTTAGGTATGTACTTGCATACATACATACATAAGTGTGATAAATTATTTCCATACCCTTCACTTAAAAGTGTAGGGGTATATAGCTTTTGAGGTGTAAGTTTGTAACACTCAGAAGGCAGCATCGTCGACCTTATCTATAAGGCACAGATATAAATTTTTTCTCATTAATTAATGCAATTTGTATTCTGCAATTATTTTTATGATAATATTTATTATGTTGCGCAAATTTAAAAGCACATACTTATCTCGGTAATAATTGTACTGATAACAATTTTCACAATGTTTTAACGAAGAAGATTGAAAGCAAAAGCGATTGAAACAGAGTGTTTATGAAAAATGTAACGGTTGCCTAACTACACAATTATAGTTCGAACATAAAACTTTCACTGTATGGACACATATTTAATGAACTTTTAATAATTTTAAGACACACTTTATATTTTGCATTCAAAAATTTAGGAGTTGTTATCAAATCCAAATGAGAATGAATTGCAATTGCTTAGCTCAGAAAGAGCAACAGCCCGGTATATCATGAAGCTGCCATAAAAACGATATGATTGAGGAAGCGGTTTTGCGTCAAAAAATTGATTATTTACTTTGTGCTCAAATTCTGTTTTTGTTTACATATGTATATAAAATAGTGGATTGAAATTGATGTCTCATGCTGTTGCAACATCCATGAGTCGCGAAATGAGTAAAAAATGCCTTCTAATGATATGTACATAAATATATTGATAATATGTACCTACACAATATGCGAATACTTGTATATGAATGTACTTCATGGCTCACAAAAATGAATGAATAAACTTTTTATAAGACACTGTGAAGAGTATATACATATCTATGTACGTCGCTTCGGTTCCGAGGAAGATAGCTTCTTTGCTCGTTATCATTGTCATTGAAGCCGCCGTCCCCCCACCCTCACTCCTTTTAAAAAACATGAATACGCAAATGTGTGCGACGCTGAAAAATCTGTAAAATACCTGGCCGATGATGCAATTTCGATTTCGCATAATAATAACAGGCAACGCCAAAAAGACAACAGTGGCGAGGCAAAAATGTATAACAAGCTGCCAAGTCAGCCAGCATTTGCTGTTAACATTTAAATTATGAAAGCTATGCGCGAGCGTTTGGTATGCGGCGCTGACGTTTGCGCCGACGCCGGCTTCGGCATCGACGGCACCGTCTAAGCCGTCAGCAAAAAAGTAGTTGCTGTCACTTAAACCGAGGGAGCGGCTGTGCTTGCTTGCCTCCGTCTTTTGTATGTGTGTGTTCAAGTGCTGTGTGTGCAAGTGTGTGTGTGTGTGTGTGTGAATGTGTGTTTGTATGTGCAGGTGTGTTCATTTGCAAAGCTGTTGATCGAAGCCAGCAGCAAGCGGGCCCCACATAGACAATCAGGTACCTACACTATGCCTCATAAGTAATTGTACATTTTGAATGGCATATCGATTTAGAATTTGATGGATGGTGATTGACATGCTAAGCTTTTGATTAGATGTTTGTATATGTCAGCTCAATAAATACAATATTGATACATACTTAATTTGTTGGATTTACATATAGCGCCTTAGCTAACTGACAGAATGATTAGTAATTTTGACAGGACTAAGCGGACAAGTTTTATTTATACTATATAAAAGAGATGGCGGATTCACTTGCTCTTTATAATTGAAGGAGGAATTTAGAGGAAATAAACCTAGGGATTAGAAGGGTCTACATACCAAGTTATTCAATGCTCAGCCGTTAATTCAGACAGACGTTCTAATAGGGCGCGAACGATTTTACAGACTCGGAGATGCTTTCTTGTTTCTACTTCAAATTTGTCCACAAACGTAATACACGCTTTTTATCATTTTTATCAATTTCTGTGATTAAATATTTGCCATTCTATATGACTTTGAAGATTATATTTAATATTTTTAAAACAAGCAAGAAAATAAACTTAATTTTTCAATAATAAATTATCAATGTGCACAATTTTTAGGTTTTATTAGATCAAAAATTTGTATATTGGGGGAATTTAAGAACCTTTACCAATGAAAATCAAATAATGTAACAGCTCTCTCTCTCACTCTCTTAATTCTCAAATCGTTTTTAAAAATATGTTTTGAGTTTTAGTACATTTTTTAATGTTAATTAGGTGTGCTACTTTTTCCACCTACTGTGCTTATTGTGTACAAGTTAGGAACTGCTAAATTGACTGTTGGGGCTGCCTGGCGGTTTGCGGCGAGAAACGTGCCCAACATTTTGGAATTCCAAGACTGCTGCGCATAAAATGTTAAAGTTTGAGAATAATTGCGATTGTGGTTGGGTTTTAGTTTCAGTTTTGGAATGTATACATATGTACATATGTACAAGTATGTGTGTGTTTGCAACAGCGTCGTGAGTCAGCGCAATATCTGAGAAATAAGAAAAAAGAATCACAATACTAAGGCGCAGTTTCCGTTTTGCATTTGCAGTGCCGATTGCGTGCAGGCCAGAGTTCGTAGTCAAAGCAATCAAACAACAACAATATGGTCAATCATCATTCGAATGGAGGTGGAAGCGCGGGCAACAGCAGCGGCAGCCTGCGTGGGGCCCATGGTGGCGGCGGCGGTGGCGGCGATTACTCCGGCGATGATCGCAGCGGCGGGGAGGAACGTGAGCGCTTGGAAAGCGATCTGCACGACAAGCCCACCTACTTGCTGGAGCACTTGGCCACGTTTACAGTAAATAAGGAGTCGGGCATTGTTTATCCAGCGGACGGCATGCGACGACTCTTGCAGTTGGAGAAAACAACGGGCATTTGGTCGCAAAAGATGCAGCTGTGCCTCGACTATCAGTGGGTGCTCATCATGGACTATGAGACTGGGGTATGTATAGATTATTTATTTATTCGAAATTTCTAAAATACTACTGCAAATATTATTTTCTAAAAATGAGAAAATTTATGAGCAAAACATACATAATCTGGGCTGATCACGTTTCCGAATTCAAAGATATTTTTGGAAATCGATAGATTTGGCAGCTTTTTCGATTTTTATAATGTAAATATATACATCTAACGAACTCAAATCAAATTCCCATATCTTAGATTTGTCTGATATAATGATAACGAATCGAATTTGTGAAAATTCTCTCATTTTCTGTAATTTGTTCGATCAATTTGATTGAGTTTGGAATTATCAATACAGTTTTTTAAAGTTTTTTTAATGGGTTGTTCAAATACTCATATAAATCAGGGAGAAGAAGGTTTAACGCCTCCACAAATGAATATAAGCATATAGTATAATGATTTTATTTACTTTTTAGAAAGCTTTGTTCAAAAATAAGCGTTCGGTTTTTTAAATATATAGTAGAATTGGCCTTTGAAAAATATATTTCTACATTTGAAAATATTATTTAAAACAGTAAATCTTTTTCTAATATGAAAGACTTGGTTCTTGAATATGATTAGAGTAAGGCCTACAAATATTTCTAAGAAAGATCTAAGAAAAATCAATTAACTTTCGTTTAAATGGACAATATCTCTAAAATAGGGAAAACTTTATTGCCCTTATTGGTTATATAAATAGCGAACAAGTTGAAAAGTGTAAGATATTAATTAATAAGTATTGGGGTTGGTTTTGAATTTCCCCTCCCAAACTTTGCAATATAGGCTCCTTGCCCCCCTTAGCTTATCCCTAATTCCCTTAAACTAAGTTTAATGTTTTTTTTTTTCAATTCTTTCCAGAACATAATTGAGCGTTTCCCAGCCTCGCTGATACAGGAGCCCACCGCCTTCACCTCCAATGACGCCATGGAGCTGTACAACAACATTCTTGTGTTTATTGTCTCCGGCGGAGGTGGTTCGCGCTCAGAGATGCACATATTTCAGGTGAGGCACTGATTAGCATTTGAATCTTTCATAGTTTCTCACGACTTACGCTTTCTACTTGCAGTCACAAAGCGTGTCCGCCGTGCATTTGGTGGAGGATTTGAAGCAGCTGCGCAGCGGCAAGCTGATCACACAGCAGCGTGGTGCCACGCCCACACAGCATGGCGGTGCCTCCGGCTCGGGCGCCATTATGAGCAAGACCTCGTCGTCGTCGTCTCACAGTCGCATGGAGCAGCATCATCATCAGCAGCAGCATCGCGAGCATCGGGAGCACAGGGAGCATAGAGAGCACCATCACATGCACCAGCGTAGCAGTGTCGATCAGTATGGAATGCGCGGAGCTGGCGGAGTGTCCGAAGTGGACATGGGCCACAATGGCGAAACGGATTCGGAGCATGGTGGGGTGAATGATCGGGACGAGACCAGTTCCACTTCTAGCGAGAAATATGAACGGGATGTGGCCGTGCTGAATCATTGCTTCGACGATATTGAGAAGTTTATTGCTCGTCTGCAGCATGCGGCGGCTGCTTCTCGGGAATTGGAGCGCCGGCGACGCAATCGCAAGTCGAAAAAACGCGATCCCGGCGAGGGTTTGTTAACGCTGCGCACGCGCCCGCCTCATGAGAAGGAGTTTGTGGACATATTCGCCAAATTTAAGCTCTCTTTCAATTTGCTGGCCAAGTTGAAAGCGCACATTCATGATCCGAATGCGCCAGAGCTGGTGCATTTTCTTTTCACGCCGCTGGCTCTCATCGTGGAGGCCTCCAGTGACACATATTACGAATCGCAACTGCCTTCACGCGTTGTCAACCCTCTGCTCACGCGGGAGGCCATTAATTTGCTGATCAACTGCGTGACCAGCAAGGAGACCGAGCTTTGGCGTTCTTTGGGCGATGCTTGGGTCATACCGCGCGATCAGTGGAAGGAGGATGTCGGCTCATATCATCCAGTATTTCTTGATGGCTGGTCGCCAGATTACTTAGTCATTGATGAGTTGGAAACATCGACAACGCCGTCCGCGCATGTGGGCAACAAACGGCGACTCGATGTGCAAGCGGTGCAAAGTCATGGTCTGGGCGCTGGTCTGGCCATGAATGGACGGGCTGCGATTGGAGGTGTTGGCAGTGGCTATGACGATTACGACACCAATGGCATCTCTCTCAGTGAGAAATATACTATACACCATGGACACGATCGTGCAGGTGCGGTCAGTGCTTCCGATTTCAATGCACGCAGCGAGCTCTCATTTGACTCCATCGATCGGGGAGGAGCAGCGGGTCCCGCACCTGGAGCGGGTCCCACTCTCAGCGCCATTACAGCGGGTCTGCAAAATCTGCACACACGCGAGTCTCGCAATGTGGGTGGAGGAGGCTATGCCGCTGCATCATCGGAGCTGGCAGGTGCAAGTGGACGTGGCGTGGGAAATGCGAATACCAGCGATGATCAGTTGCTGGAATCTTGGCTCGAGGATCTTCAAGCCTCGGGCGCTAAAATCGTACTGGTCACCTACCCGCGCACCGCAAACAATGACAAGGAGCTAAGTGTAATGCGCGGCGAGTATTTGGAGGTAAGTCAATGAGAATGAACCCTTAGTTGTCCTTTTCCTTAACTGTTTCCGTTTGAAATGCACAGATCTTGGATGATACGCGCAAGTGGTGGAAGGCGCGAAATATGCGTGGACAGGTGGCGCATGTGCCCCACACAATTGTTACGCCGTACAACTACGGCGATAGTGAGGGCGGCGGCGCTGGTGCCAGCAGCCAATTCTATGGTCAGCAGCAATCCAGTAAATCCAGGCACATGGCGGGCGGCAATGGGGTAAGATTACATTTCAGCTTGTAGAACTTTCTTGACTTAAACATTCTTGTACGGGTGTTAAGACATGGGGGTCATCAAAATATTATAAGCAGTCCCCGGTGTCTCAGCACAATTAAGATAAAGATTAGCAATCCTAAGAGTTACGTGTTATAATATGAAATCTGTTTCCATTTTCAGGACCCCGTCAGCCTAGATCAACGCTCGCCAGACGCAACGGATATGATGCGCAGCAAACATCTTGGCAAGAAGGGCGAGTTTCGTTATTTTTAAGTTGCAGCTTAACTTATGTTCTTATAAATATACATACTTGCATGCATATTTTAGTTGACAATATAATTTTATATATATATATATATATATATATATATATATATTCATATGTACCCCAAATGGTACGCATATAGAACATATATATATAACAAATATATATGTATATGTCCCTAACATTTTGCAACAATAGTCGTTGGCAAACGAACCGTCCCCCAAATTTTGTAGTTGTATTTTGTATGCAATCTTAATACTAAGACTAACTTTAAGTTGTATCTAATCAGAGGATTCCCAGAAAGAGAAAAACAACAACAAAATATTGCAATTATTAAATCAAAGATATTGGAATTCAAACGATGGCCTTATACAGTCTAAACTGTCGGATTCGAATGCAGTTCTATCGACTGCTTTTTATTATATATTTTTTATAAAATGTCTAATCTAGACAATTAGTCCAATATGTAAAACGTTCGGGACAGATAGTTCTCCCTCTATCTACCCAATGTTCAATTAAGAGCCGAAGAATTTGGAAGAACGCTTAGTAATTAGCAGAGTAACGGCAGAAAAGCAATAAATAATAAAATTAAACATTGACATTAGTAAAATTCTTAAAGAAACTAAAAACAAGCCCAATAACCGATGTTCATATTCGATTGTTTAAAAAATATTTTGCAATAAAGATTTGTTAATTCTAGCTATAAATGTAATCTGTGAAAAGCAGAGATTATTTCCAATAACTATGCGGCATTATTTATTTGTAAGACTTTATTCGAGAAACTTGACTAAGTTAACGGGTGCACGGAGAAAATATGTAGCTATTAGAAGAAAAGGAAACAATTATACTACGGATACTTTTACTAAATGCAACGATCAAAATTTAAAAGAAAATTAACTCTACTGCTCTTGGCTCTCATGGCTGTAGTTAGTTAGACCTGCTTCCGTTTTTTCAATGCAAATATATTAGATATGGCTTAAGATCGTGGTACTTCAAAAAAAGTTATAATAAAATTCACCTAAAATCGAAAACGGAAACAGGACTTAATAGCCATTGACAAGTGTTTCGTAGATTCAAAAGATGATCTGTTAGATTTGCAAACTTCGAATAAATGAGAGAGTAAAATTTAGCACAACATTGATTTAACATCGAAAACGGGTATCAGGATTTGATTTCGTGAATAGTTTCAAAAGATGATCGCTTAGTTTTCAAAACACTGGAATACCATCTTCAGCATTAATGGCTTGAGAGGCTGTCTAAAGATCTAAAGAAACATTTTTAGGAACAATTTCTTACTTTGTAATAATTTAGAAATATTTGAAAATATTGAGTATTTTTTCTAAATACCTGCCATTTTCAAAGAGCAGAATAATAATTTTGATCGTTGCTTCAAGTTCCCTCTTAAGGGGGAGTGATGAACACATTTAGATGATTGACAGTTTCTCGACACGTGCCAAAAGCGGAGAATCCGAGTGATACTCAATATTCCTCACAGAGAAGTCGCCCACATCGTTGGTGAAGCACTTGAGCGACGAAATGGAGAAGGGGCGTAAGGGGAAGTTATAGTAGGTGAAATATAGGCCATTAACCGCGATAATGAAAGCACGATCGCCAATGCCGAAAGCAATTTTGAAAAGTTTTCCGCGCACAAAGGGAAACTCCCCCTCGGTTTCCTCATCGTCGCTGGCAAAGCTGCAAAGACAACTCGGTGTTCATTAGACACTTTTGGATAGGTATGGAATGGGTTAACGCACCTATTATCCTCCCTCTGGTAGCTGCGCGATACAGTTGTCTTATTGAAGTCCACATGGAACTTGAACACCATGCGTCCGGTATCGTTGCATTGGAAGCAAATCGAGAACTCTGTGGTTGGAGGTCCTTTGGCAATGCACTCCATTGCCACCACAGTGCCGGTCTCATACCGCCGCGGCACATCACTCTGGAAAGCAACACGTTCGGCACACATGAGACTGCGCGGAAAGACCAATGGGAAGAGCATGCGATGGTGAAATTGTGTTATCTTCTCAAAATCTCCATAGGCGCGCACAAAATTGATTTGCTTGGGGAACTTGACGAACTCGAAGGAGCCGTAGAGCTGATCATTCACATAGATCTCAAAGCAGCGCTGCAGCACGGCCACCCGAAAGCTAAAGCTTTGACCTGGAGGGGGAATAATCTCATACATATATACTCATACTTGGGAAGAATTCAGGGTCTACCCACCGGGCACCAAAGGATTCTTGGGTCCATCGCATTTCCAGTTCTTAGAGATCTCCTCCTGCTGCCAGCCCTCGCCCGGCTGAAACATGCTGCGTATGATCTGACCTTCTCGGAAGTTGGCTTCGATTTTGAGAAACACCGTCTCACTCTCATTTTGGGCATTTATGTTGTCCGTGAGATCCAGCGAGATTCTAAGATGGACATTTTATTTCATTTCAGCTTACGTTTCTAAAAACTGCGGATATAGCTAGCTTTGCAAATAATTTGCACACAAATTTGTCGAATATCGTAATAATGCCATGATTATAATGTTATTTAATTTGAACCATTAAAAAATCATTAAAAAATCTTTTCTAAATAATAGTTTTCTTTTAAAGAGCACTTCCTTTAACATTTCAATGCCTATTTGCTTACAAATTTGTAGCCAGTCAGAAGGTCGCTTGATTTAAGAAAATAAAATAAATACAAACTCTTTTCTAAATCATAGTTTCGTTCTTCAAAAAAAAAAAACTACTTTAACATTTCCTTTTCAAAGCCTATTTTTGTACAAATTATTTGTCAGTCAGAAAATCGCTTAATTAAAAAAAATCTTTTCTTAATATAGTTTTCTTTTACAAAAAAACTCCTTTAACATATTCTTTTCAAAGCCTATTTCTGGGTTAATTTAAAATATAAAATAAATAAAAATACTTTCCTAAAACATAGTTTTCTTCTACAAAAACGTATTAAATATGTCCTTTTGAAAGCCTATTTGTGTACAAACTATTTGCCAACCAAAAAAAAACGCTTCATTAAAAAAAAATTCTTTTCTAAAATATAGTTTTTTATACAAAGCGCTTTAAATTTCATTTGGAAACCCTATTTGTTTACAAATTTGTAGCCAGTCAGAAGGTCGCTTGGTTTAATAAAAAATTTTTTTTTTTTTAGTTTTCTTCAAAAAAAAAAACTCCTTTAACATTTCCTTTTCAAAGCCTATTTTTGTACAAATTATTTGTCAGTCAGAAAATCGCTTAATTAAAAAAAGGAAATAAAAAATCTTTTCTTAATATAGTTTTCTTTTACAAAAAAACTCCTTTAACATATTCTTTTCAAAGCCTATTTCTGGGTTAATTTAAAATATAAAATAAATAAAAATGCTTTCTTAAAACATAGTTTTCTTCTAAAAAAACTTATTAAATATATCCTTTTGAAAGCCTATTTGTGTACAAACTATTTGCCAACCAAAAAATCGCTTCATTAAAAAAAAAATTCTTTTCTAAAATATAGTTTTTTATACAAAGCGCTTTAAATTTCATTTTGAAACCCTATTTGTTTACAAATTTGTAGCCAGTCAGAAGGTCGCTTGGTTTTTTAAAAAAAAATTTTTTTTTTTTTTTAGTTTTCTTCAAAAAAAAAACTCCTTTAACATTTCCTTTTAAAAGCTTATTTATGTACAAATTATTTGCCAGTCGGAAAGTGGCTTAATTTAAAATTTAAAAAAAAATAAATAAAAATTCCTTTAACATTTCCTTTTCAAAGCCTATTTGTGTACAATTTATTTGCTGGTCAGAAAGTCGCATAGTTAAAAAAAAATTAATAAATAAAGCTTCCTTTCTAAAATATAGATTTCTTCTACAAAAAAGAACTCCTTTAACATTTCATTTTCAAAGCCATTTTGTGTAAAATTTATTTACCAGTCAGAAGAGCGCTTCAGTCTAACTAAAAGCGATATATTTGATTGCCTAGTTAGGAACCAATTCACATTGTGGAATTCCTGCTAGTTCGTTAAACTAAGCCAAACCCAAAAAAGTGATATTTGTTTGTTATTAACAAATATTGTTGTTTGTACTTTCTGTTCTTAGACAAAATAACACTTGTTTTGCATTTAAAAAAGCGTCAACTATTATTTTCAAACTGCCGAATTGCGGACATTTTGGCTTCCAGTTATAAACCACTTTCAACTGGATTTAATTAAATGAAAGAACTCAATAAAGTTTAGAAGCACATGGAACTATTAATTGCAGATACATTTTTGTCTTTTTTTCACATTTACATTTGAATAAACTTCAATTAATAATTATGTTAACACTAAACAAAAGCATGGCACTCTTAAGTCTAATTTCTCTTAGATGTGACGTCCACCTTGAAATTAATTTCACTTGAACTCGATAAACTTCTAAAACAACCATGAAAATCAAATCCCAGAGAGTTTTCCAAATAGAAAACAATTTTTTTGAAAGAAATATATAATTAAACATAACATGCTTGAGAAAATGCAAAAGCTGACCATTATAGCTTTAGAAACTATAGTAACTTCTAAAATTTCTAAATTTTTGAAAAAAAATTAGAAAATTGTATTAAAATATTTGTTAAGGGGATTTCAGAAGAGATTTTTTATTGCAGATATTTCTCATTTCTATCTCCGCTACACAACATTATTATGAGAAAATTCCGAGAATTATTATATTATATATTATATTTATTGCTGTTAAAGCTGAACTATGTTTTGTAGTTATTCTTATCGTTTGTCATTTTTTCTTTACACTTATCTCACACATTCGAAACTAATTTGTTTATTGTTGTGATAAAAAACTATAGCCTACTTATTGGGGTGAGGCTTCACGCGTCCGCTCACGATGAGCACATGTCCGAATGGTACTTCAGTGAGCACTTTTGCCTTCCAGATGTTCATTGCGCCTCAACCGTGCTAATGCAACTGAATTTAGAGAATTTACGAATCGCCTGCCAAACGTTTAGGCTGAACGTCATCGCCTCTGTTGGCGCTGACGGTGACGGTGACGGCAACGGCGACGCAAACCATTTTTGTTTTATGCGATGTTATGCTAATAGATTTGCCATTCATTGCTTTCTACATTTGTTATGATTATGTAAAGGGCATGTAATGAAGAATTACTAGCGTCGAATCGAAGTCGCTGTCTCCGTCTCCGTCTGAGCCACAATCGCAGTCGCAGCCACATGCAAACTTGACATGGGTAAGGTTACCAAATACCGACGAAACGAAGGCCCCCAAAGACCCATCACGATGACGACGTAGACGTAGACGACGACTGCCTGCCTGCCTGCCTGCACTGTTCGACTTTGACGAACCTTGCGCGTTTATTTATTTGATTCAATCCTTGCCTTTGTAACCCATAACTGTCATCCTGAAGTTCTTTTCACGGTTGTTGGCGCCCGTCTCTGTCCGCCTCTGCATGACTTGTTGTTGCAACCCTACCTTCCTTAGAGCTTTTCATTACCTTCATTGTTTCAACATTTGTTGCTAACACGGTCGCTGTTGTTGTTGCGTGTCTGCGATGAAAAGAACAAAATATAAAAACAAAACACAACAACAACAACGACAAAAATTGATTCCCTGTCTAAAGTTTTTGCATTTGCAAGCGCCTACGATGCCACGCCCACGCGCCATCTCACTATGAATCGTACAAGTACCAAGCGACAATGTTATTATTGTACTTGTGTTTATTATTATTGTTGTTATTATTTTTGCTGTTGTAGAGCACGCTGGCTTTCTCATGCTCAGGCCACTTATTGGAGCAGCCTTCCCTTAGGCAGGCAATTCATTTCTTTTGACATTTCTTGGCACATGCGCTGCCGTTTAAAAGTTCTGTGCTTGCGGGGGAGGGGGGAAGGAATCCTACCCCTCCCCAACAATGACATCGGACGTCTCTGACCTCCCCGCTGTCTGTCGTTTGCAGCTGATAAGCAGCCGGCTATATAGCTTCGCATTACAATTTGTAATTACGTTTTTAAAACAACTTCACCTTGGTACACTTATCCGGTACGTCGCCACACATAACTCGAAACTGCCACGCCCCCCTCGCCCCTGCACGCATTTCAATGCTAAATGCGCATTTCTCAGCAATTAAATTTGATTATGCATATGGCACAGACTCTCCATAACGACAGCAACTTTATTTTGTTGAGCAGTAACTCTACTTATAACGAAGCGCATGGAGTGTCTCTCCTCCACTTTTGTAAACATGGAGAAAAGAAGGAATTTTGTATATGTATGTATATTTCATTGTTCATGTAAATAATCATTGATACCCTTTGCGTAAAGTTGTTTGCCTGTAAGATCTAATCCACAACAACCTTCTTCAATATTCAGTTAGGATCCAATATCTTTATAAGCAAAAATGCTTTCATAAAAAGGAAACTTTTAGAAAACATCATTTAAATGAGAGCTACGTACTATATATGACAATATAATGATCTGATTTCGTTGGTTTCGACAGACAAAATAGTCTTTCGAATCAGTAGGGAAAAATCCCGGATTCACAGCATATTGTATTCTTTTCTAACTTTTTTAGGATAGTCTACTGAAAACATATATTCTAGGAAACGTTTTCTCCACAGTACCTTAGAAGAAATGCTTCAACAAATTTGCAGAGTCCTTAGTGTTCAGCCAGAGGAAAACAGCAACGCATTAAGCTCAACTTATTTGGAAACCCAAATATCTTATAATTTTACATTATTAATACAAAATTGTATATGCAACGAACTGTCGTAGCTTATACTAGTAGTTTATCTTTTGGTGACCCTGACATCGCTCTAGTTCGGCGGCAATAGCAAAAGATGGATGGCCTACTTGAATGGTTATCAGCTATTACTTTTAAGCGATAAAACATAGTTCGTACTAAAGGCTACATTGGAGCTGTTGTTGAAATATGAAAACCTTAGACAATAAGTGTCCATTGGTATCTGCTGTCTACTAATTCCTCTATAGAAGCCTTTAACAATTATTCTATTGTTTAACTAAACAGTGCCTTCAAAATTGAGAATCAGAAACTTTTCGTAGGCGTATTATCGTATTGGAGAAGTTCAACTGTCGTCCGCACAATATTGGCGCCAATTAATTAATTTTGTCTTTATGTCTAAGCATTAATATATTGCAGGCAGGCATGCCATTGATTTTGGCATCAGGGTTATATATATAACTACTTGTATATAAATCGTTCATTGCTGCATTACAGAAGTCAATGAACCTGTGCGACCTTGTCTAGATGGAGACAGGCACAGAATTGGCTCATCATTTGTGATATTGGTATAAATATTTTGAGAGTTTTGTAAGGTAAACACAACTAATGAAGTAATCGTGTTGATTTCAACTTTAATTTCCGGTTGTCATTTTAGCTGATAAGTCGAGCAACCTTCTCCATACATACGAGTATGCCTACGTTGCACAAATATGAGTATTGTTGTATATGAAATTTTCCCCCACATATCTTGGAAGCAACAGACAAGTATATACGCGTTGTTGGGAAACATAAGTCGATGGTATACTCGTATATATGTCTGTATATATGTATGTGCGCCACGTCAGACCGTACCTGGAAGTACTTATAGACGAGCCCCAACATGCTCTTTCTTATCGCCAAAGTCGAGCATGTCGAATCATTTCACAGCAAGTGCCAAGCAAATAATGAAAATAAACGAAAAGCGAAAAATCCAATAGCGACGACACGTCTACAAAAAATCAGATTTCTACACTCGACGTCGTGTCTTTCAAAACCTTCTATCTGAGTTAATGCCGGCCGATCGTGCCATCGTGGGTTTGCCTGGCCGGGTCTCTAATATGTTTATGGGCGCTCTATAAAAATGTGATAGAGGCATAAACTGCCTGTGCCCGATAAAAAGGAAAGATTGTTAGTGCTTTAAGATTCGGTAGCTAGCTCGCTTCTATTATTATTATGATGGGGCATGCAATCAAATTTACGGCCAGATTGGAGCCACAGTGCATATCAGTGTCATTATCAACACCGATTGCTGAGAAACTTGAATGAAAGAGCCCGTATTATGCGATATGTGATTGGTTTAAGTGAGTACTTATCGCATAGACATATTTATCAATTGGACTGTTGGTTGTGTGGTGGTCGGTTTAAAGGCACCAGATTGCGAAAATTATTTGGAAGTACTTGTCGCTTTGCCTCCCTCTGATGACGTCTACAAAAATGACTTCACATTAGTCGTAAATGCATTCGCAACGCACGATTTGTAACGCCTCGCCAAAAAAAGCACTTCAAGACCCACCTGCTAGACCGGCGCCGCTAAGGCCCCTAGGGAGCCAGCCACCTGAGCTACGAAAAAAACACGTGGCGTTATTTTAAGCATGAAAATAACTTAAGCCAAACGAACAAACTTTTTGCAATACAAAATTTACAGTTTGCATTCCCTTGGCTCAAGTAATTCGCTGCCTAAACTGATCCGAAATTTGTATCTGTAGCTTTATCAATGGATGGTCACGAATTTCAAATTGAACTTCACGCGTGAGAACTCGACTTTGCACTGCACATTTTGGAAAACTTCAGAGTATTAAGTCAAAGATTCATCTCAAAGATTCTCGAACATATTCAAACAGTCAGTACATCTCCGCTTGCGTTCGAGGATCGAGGACAGACACTATGCACTTGTCGCGTATCGGAACGTAACTGAATCGTTGGATATTTTTTCGATGAAGTTTAAAACGTCAACGTCGCTTGGCACGCCACGAAGCTCTGACGATCGGCGGCAGTAATTTACGATCGACAATGTTCGTTAATATCAATATCAAACAGTCAGCACCTATGTACAATATATGGCCAGGTAAGAGGAGCACATGCATGTGTATGTGCCAGCAGGAGCAAGTGTGTCTGTGTGTGTGTGTGTGTGTGTTTGTGTCTGCATGTATGTATGCGTGTGCTTGTGAGACACAAATGTAAAAAGAAAACAAATAAATATGAAATATTGAACACACGAATGTGGAGCAAAAGTGGGTAATATTTTTATAGATAACAACCACAAAAGGCCCACACACACAAACACACTCACACACACACACAGACATATCAACACCCGCAATCACACATACACACTAACACTTGTGTGCGTTCGTGCGTGCTGCCTTTGTATTGGCCATCAAATTGTTGCGCCTCGTTTGTTTGTTGTTTTTGCTGTTGTAGTTTCTGCAACTGCGCTGCTCGTTAAAAAGAAAATTAAATGGAAACATCGCGCCGTGGAAGAAACTGAAAGACATTTTCTGACATCACATGTTTTTTTATATATCAAAAATAAAGTTGCAACAAAGTTTAAAGTTCAAGGTAAGTTTTTAAGGATGTTCCAGCAACTGAATTCGATTTGCAATAAATATTGTGAATAAACTGCTTACAAACATAGCAACGGCCTCACTTTTTTCATAGATATAAATAATTATGGAAATTCTATTATCAGAATGCCCGCTCTTGCTGCAGATTAACATTTTTATTTATTTGCTTATTTATTTATGTCAACAAACATATGACTGTCGACATAGGAGCAGGCTAGAAAAGCGTAAGAAGGAGAAATCTAATCAAATTACAATAATATCTGATTAATGTCTCCGATCCGGTGCGAGAACATACTTTTTATAAACTCAAAAATTAATTTATAAATAGTTTATTAATTTCGGATTTTTAAATAAGCAATTCTTATCAGACTAATCAAATAAATATTTTAATCTATTACAAATCCAATTCAGTTGCAGGAATTACTCTTTCATAAACAAGAAATAATACTTACATATTAGGTTGATTTTAAATTCATCGTTTCATCAGAATAATACATCTAGATTAAAGGTAGCAGGCAATCCTGATAGCTTTTTCAACTTCGATTTTGATTTAGTTTATCAAAAATATATCTTTAATTCTTAAAAAAAAAAGGCCCAGAGTAGCTAACTCGGAGTCTTTTTATTTTAGTATTTTGCAATTATTTCATACTTATACTTTTTTAATAATATGATTTCGCAATATAATGGTGGGAAAAAGAATGTATTTTAATATATTTTAAATTGTTATTAAACGATATATCTACTCGTGACTAATAGAGTAAGAAACAAAATTAGCCTGAGCTAATTAAACAGCATGAGTTAATTATTAAGAATTCGCTCAGAAAATTGTGTTCTTTTCACCGTTCACACTGGCAATTAAAAGCGAATTTTCTTATCAAATGAGACAAGCTTAGAGTTCGCCGATAATGAAGAATAACAATCGTGAACATTGCATCATTGCATTATTTATTACCCTCTTTTCAATTCGAATACAATTACGCTTTTAACTAAACAAAATTATAGTATATTTGACATGTTCTTGTTAATTATTGAACTCCTGCGCGGGACCAAATATTTAAAACGGCTACAAAACTAGAATATGAGTCGTTTTAAAGAAAATGCGCATTTAATTTAATAAAATAAAAAGGGAATGCTAGAAATGTAAATAGTAGGAGAGGCACAGAGGAGGGACGCCAAATTATTTATCCAATTACTTGTTACTAATCGCATAATTAAAATTTAATAAAATAGCAAAAGAAAGCGCTGCTCTGGGCAATTATTTGCTTGTAAAATACAGTCACACTTTTATTATATGGCCGAGTGATGTTCGGCAAAGGTTTTCCTAATTGTTATAAATTATGCGAATAACTGTATTTATCGCACATTTTGTGGTCACACTGAAGGATTAATGTGGAGCAGCTGCAGACAGCTGATCGAAGAAAATAAAATCAAATATTTAACAGAAATAAGGAATATCAACTATAATATCAGTTGTTCTAATATTTCGAAAATCACATTCACTTTTCTCTGAATTTCATCCACTGTGCGTCGTCAGAGTGGCATAGTTTTTTCTTTTCATATATTTTTCTATTTCAATTTGTCTCAATAATTTGTATGGAGTTTCTGCCATTGTTGTTGCTGTTGTTGTCGTTGTCGTCGTGTCTGCATCGTTTGTTTGCCTGTGCCGTTGTTGTTATCAGCAGGCACAGCGACAGGTACACTTGTATTTGTATAGCAGGTGTGTGTATGCTCATGTGTGTGCGTGTGTGTGTGCGTGTGTGTGTGCGTGTGTGTGTGCGTTGCGCTGGCTAACAAATGTTAAAAATAATAGCTAGAAATAAAACAATTTGAGCTCAAAAGTGTTGCTGCTGTTCTCTATTTGCTTGACATACGTCAACCGATCGTTCGCTCGGGTTGAGTTTTTAGACCACGACGCTGACGACACGACACGTTCGCCCATATGCCAGAGTACAGTCAGGGGGTGCCCTCCACCCTTCTCCCTCTCTCTCACACTCTCACTCTACACAGGCACATAAAAGTGACTGCCATTATCAACGAAATGCATTGACAAGTTATGTACCTTCCTTGTGTGTGGAGAAAATAGTCATAGTACTTATTCTTTAATGTTTGCACAAGTGTCATTAATTGATTTATTACCAACATTGATTGCTCGGGAACAGTTTTGGTCGTCAGTAAGATTGTCAGATGGCCCCTATTATGAGTAAAGAGGCGCTTAAGTTGATATAAATAATAATAACTACTATTTAAATAAATATAAAAATAATCCTTTCAACCCCGATATTGTCATCATATGCTTTTTGAAGTGATAAAAGCTGAGTACATACTAATAGTGTACTATTTTAGAGTTTAGAGTTTACTAAGATTAGAAAAGAAATTTGCTTAAAATATGTAAATACATAATCTTTATTGCAATAAGTCTTAACTAAGCACCAGACATTGTCTTAGACACAAAATTCAAAGAAAACAAAAAAAGTATACATATATATTCATTATAAAATAATTTAGAAGGACATGATAAAAAGTGAATAATATAAAATATTGTAAATAATATTAAAATAGTAAACGAAACAGTTTTTTTTTTGTTTTTCTTAAAGTCAAAACTTAGTCCCAGGCATACTTATAAGTATTTCAAAAACCAATTAAAGCCAAAAAGTCTTAATCAACCACCAGATCTTTTTCTATACAGAATGTTAAGGATATCTTAAAAAAGGTACAAAAACTAAAATGGTAATAATTAAAATTTACTTTTTATTTAAAACATGTTTGTGTTCGGTTTTCAATCAATAATTTCATTTTGAAGGCAATTGTTGGCATATAACATTCTGCTCAGTTAAAAGGGAATTAGTAAAGGCAGATAAATTGGAAAACCTCACTTAATTACCTTTAGCTTGAATAAGTAAATCCAATTTCTTTTACGAGGTATTGAATTCTGCAAATGCGTTAAGAATAGCTTAAATTGGAGACAGTTGTGATAAATGCGGTAAGTGCGAGTAAATAAGTTAATTCAATTTGTTTTGCTTAAAATATTTAAATATTTTGCAAAAAATTAACCAAATCAACCAGTATACGCCCCCTTATCTAAAATTTTATTTCATAATGATATTCTATTTAAATCGGACATTTTGTGAAACTTGTTCGCAAATTGAAAAGTCGAGATCTCTTAGGTTAGATGATGAATTTAAACTGCATTAGAATCGAAAACTAAAATTAAAACTTTGCTGTCCATCCATATTGATCTTTAAGCTTTAGAATAAAACTAAAAATTTCTTTTCTTTTTTTTGCAAGCTGCTACAAAGCTTATGTGAAATTTTAATTATCCTTAAGTTTGGAGTTGAATTGATTTATTTATTGATAATTTTATAACGCAAGCAAAGTTCTGAAAACTGTTTAAGCATGAAAAGTATCATACAACTTATAAAGCTGTGGATTTCAGAAAGAGAAAACATTCCATAGCACTTATAATTAAAAATGTTATTAAATAAAATGGTCTTAAGTGTTTCCAGTTTTCTTGGACTTTAATTTTAATTTGACTTTCCATAATAAGATTATTTGGTAATTTCTGAAAGCTATATTTATATATCTTGGAATAAATATCACTCCTATAATGTAAGTCAATTGAAAAACTCCAACTCCGAAGGGGTAAAAGGGGTTCCAAAGTTTCTTGGGATCTAATTTGGCAGCTTTGTAATTGAATTCGTTCTTAAACACTTTCTATGCCCTTCACGGATTACTTTTATGCCTGTGTCCTTTGGATAGATTTAATTCAATCAGTCTAGATATAGACACGCTCCCAATTCCGTAACATACAACATATACGAGTATGTATATTACATTTCTGCCATATTGTATTTATAGAACTGACTAATGACCAACTAATTACTTATATGGCTGCAAATGTTCCCTAACTATAATACAACCATCAGCTACAATTGAGTAATGTGTTTGCGCTGTTTAAGTGTTTGTCATCGTCGATGTCGCCGCCATCAGAACTCCTTGAGATATCGGGTACATGCTCGAGCAAACACTTAATAAATTGATTGGCATTGCTTTCTATGTACACATACCTTGTAGTAGGTATGTATGTGGCTGCAGCAGCACTAGAATGTTGCATGTGGGTGGGCTGCGAGAAATGGGTCGCAGCCATCTAACCGAAGATGATAACGAAACAATATCTTTGGATTGATAGCTAGATATTGTCATTGAACCTAAAATATGGGAACCAAGTCATGCGGCGTGTACCTTTTGCCAGTTTTCTTTCATTATGCGTTTTATTATTTGTTCTTCTTCGATTTTTGTTTAAAGAAGGAAAAAAGCGTACCCCATAATTTTGCCGTTTGCTTGTGTGTATGTGTGTGTGTGTGTGTGTGTACTTTTTCACCCGAATATTTATTCAGCTTGAAAACTGAACTGTTTTTAGCCGAGACATGGCAGCCAGCTCGAATTCCATATAAACAGAGCAAACAAATTCAACGTCAATGCTGTCGCCGATGATCGGAAACTTTTGACTTGTTGCTAGCTTCCAATACATTTTGCATAACCAATTTGTATAGATCGTCATCCTCATCCTCGTCCTCCACCCCATCGTTGTTCCGTTCAGAGTTCTGTTGAACGCCACCAGCATTGACGCTGCCCTTCTCAGTATTTTGTTGGATTATTGCATTCAATTCATTTTTGTAGTCCTCTATAGCGTGCTTCAATAGCTTCTCTACAGGCGAGAATGTGGATCGGGAACGTAGCCTCGCTTTCGCAATTTCTAGAGACTATTAGTCGGAGTCAACCAAAAATGTTTAGTATTGACAATCATTTTTTACCTTTAATGTGTTTGTATTACGCATCAGTGCTTCCTCATAGGACAATACTTTTGTGGGCTGAATGTGCGTTAATTTTTCGGCCAATTTTTCCGTTTGACGCTCCCATTTTATCTCTTCAGCTTCACTGTAAAATACATTTATTCAAAGACACCATTTTAAAGAGACGTTACATTTTGGCGCGGGTTGGCAGTGCATAAAACTTAAGGCGACATCTGTCGTCAAAAAGTAGAACTTTTGAAGTTTTCAACCACACTCGCGTACCAAATAAATGTCAGCTAACTATTATTAAATAAATAACCAATTATATGTAATGATTGTTCACTTGAGCCACAAATTCATTGTTCGTGCTGTGAGTTTTAAGTGTTTTGCTTGCACTTACACCTTCTCCAGCTTTTTATCAATTTCCGCCTCCAGCGCCAAGTATTTGTCGTTTATCTCTTTTATTAAATCCATGCTTTTGGTTTTTTAAAGAGCCACTTGTAATATTGTCGGGGCACACGCTTCTAATGACGCCAAACAAAAATGTAAACGGTTGCTAAGTAACGACAAAATTAAATAAAAATAGGCCTTAAAATACCAAATGCCATTTTAGAAAGTGCGCCATGGGAACAGTTTTTGTTTCAAAAGTTATAGTCATGCAGGAGATTTCGCCCATTTTCCAAGTATTGCCATAAAAGTTTCCCATACTTATTTATATATGTACAAAGAAAAAGAACATTTGCATTTCTTCCACCATCTAGTCGCTGTTTAATACTTTTTCAAACAATCCGTATCTATCTACACTTATCAAGCCTCTTACATAGCTAAGGGAGCGGGCGGACATCGCCTCATCTCTACTTGTCCAGCAGGAAGTTCGTAATGTGCGGCGCCACTCGCTCCGGCGTGACTAGATGTAGATGATGCGTTCCAAGCACTTCCAGATAGACGACAGAGGCTGCATGCTGCTTGAGCGTTGCTATCACATCAGCGTAGACTTCGGGATTCTCGAAATTCATGCCCGGAATGCCTCGAATATTTAGCACCTTGCAGCGGATTTGCCGTGCATATGCCAAGGTTTGCTCTGCCGTGAACATGCCCAGCAAACTGACCTTTAGCCGCAGATCTCGCGCGAATAGATACCCTTTCTGGTTAGGTCTCATGCCTCGCTTCATAAGTACTTTCACAGAATCCTCATCCACAGAGCCATCGTATGCGTCCAGCACAAGTTTGATCATTTCATCATAGGAGTAGCAGGGCTGTTTGCTCTCCGGCAGCGTCTCGTAGTCTAGGAATTTGTCCAGTGCCTTGCCAGTGCCCTCGGCCATGCGTTTCACGCCTCGTACCGTGGGTCCAGCAATGTCTATATTAATCAGCTTGGCCACCTCATCCGGAAAGCTGGCGGCATACATGAAAGTGAGCGCACCGCCCAGCGAATGACCCAACAGTGTCACATTCTTCCAGTTATACTTTCGAACAATGCGTCGGATCAAGCAGATGCCGTCCCAGAAGATGAAGTATTGCATGCCCTGCGGATAATGCGAGGACTTGCCATGTCCCGGCAGATCTATGGCCAGCACAGAGAACTCCGCCGGCAACAATGGACATAGCTTGTCAAAGCTGCCACAGTTATCCTGCCAGCCATGCAGCGCCAAAATGGGTTGCTTGTTGCGAGCGCCCCACCATTTCCCTGTAATTGGGATTCAAAATGGAAAATTAAAAATTGTTTTTAAAAATTATTTTTAACATATTTTTTTAGTGGTAAATATATACATATAACTAGAGCTTAGAAAGTCACAGAAAGCTTTTGGCAATATAGATCAGAAAGTATTGTTAAATAGAAAAAAGGGCAGCAAAATAAATTTGTTCGCGTGGCATTCATAATTTGTACCTCCCACACAGTCGCTAATTGGGAGAAAACAAACAAACATATGGAAATTGTCATTATCGGCATGAATTGGCAGATTTAATTTAAAGGAACCCTTGGAACTGTGTTCGATATATCAGATAATAAATGACGAAAACTGATTAGTTGTTTAACCGTTCAAAGGCAAAATCACGATATACATATATGTGTTATCAGCACACTAAATCGCGCGTTTTTCTCCCAGACGGCGTGCTTAGGTATTGCGTATTTCTATTCTAATTAACATTGATAAGACAACAAGTTATGGCGACAATATCACGCATGACTCAGCGTGACACGACACTTACCAGCTATGGTGCCCCAAGGAACGTCAATTTCAAATTCCGCCCAGTTATCCTCACCCAGCAGGCTTGGGACGACACCATCTAAGAATTAGAGGAAAATAGATCATGAAATAATCGATGAAATAACGGTCGGCAGAAGAAAAAAAAGACAGCAACAAAACAGGTTTTTGCAAACCAAACAGCTGCCCCTTGACCAAAATATCAAGCTTTCGAAATCGTGTGTTTGACTGGTGAGAGTAAACTTTGGACCTTGCATTACCCATGCCCCAGTCTCTGGGGTTCAAGAACTCCGTTTTATTATCCAAAATTTTGCAATGTTGTTACTTACTTGTTTTGGCGGCCGATGTTGCTGCCGTGCCATTAAGGGTTGCTGTTGTTGTAGCAGTTGCAACGCGTGTCTGAGCCATTTTAAGCGTGTCTAAATGCGGGAATGCGACGCGCGCTGCAGCTTAATACAAAGGCTAGCTAAAACTAAGTTACATTAAACTTTTGCAATATACATTTATACCTACACATGTATATATGTATATGCATATATAGCGACGCTTGCGTTAAATCACCCGAAATTGCAAAACAGCTGGGCTTATCGATAACTCGCTAGTAGACTGGCCACCCGCCTAAAATTATTGTAGCGAGATGGTAACGCTTCCAAACACAGCTGTGTATACTCCAGCTACAGCTTACAATTTTGTTTTGTGTTGAGATTTAGAGAAAAAACAGCCCAAATGTAAGTAAATTGACCAAATTCATTGCTTTTATGCTTTATCACAACCACTTCTTATTAGGACGGACTACTGGAAATCGAATGAACGCAAGTACTGCGACTTTTGCAAGTGCTGGCTTAGTGACAACAAAGCGGTAAGTCAGCTACTCCTATTTCTCGCTAATAATACATAATCTACTACTATTTCTGTGAATCTGCAGAGTATTGCCTTCCATGAGAGCGGCAAGCGACACAAGCTCAATGTGGCAAAACGGATCACAGACATCAGCCGCAGTAGCGAGAAGGCAGAGCGTGAGCGCCAGAAGATGGACAGCGAGATCCGCAAAATGGAGGAGGCGGCTATGCGGTCTTATGCTCAGGATATACACTCTCGTGGCGATATGACTGCTCGATCCATTAATACGGTCATCAGCGCCACAACTTCTACAGCTAGGGATGGAGCACACACGTCACAAAGCTCACTCAGACCCCGCCAAGTGGATCCCATGCGTCTGGAAGGTGATTCTGACGAAGACGAAGACAATCGGAGGGTTAGTGTAGGGAAAGTTACAGCGGAAGTTGTTCCCGACGCCTCACTGTGGGTTGAAGGCAAGTCTGACGAGGGCCATACATATTACTGGAATGTAAAAACTAATGAATCGGTGTGGGAGGCACCCAAAGAGGGCTACTTGTCCTATGAGGAATACGAGCGCATCAATCAGTTGGCAGTCACGCAACAAGAGCTTTCACAACAAGAAGAATCCCTGCGGTTTCGTGCAAATGCTGATGAGGAAGTAGCACGCTTCAATCGTGAACGCATGAAGGCGATTAGAAAACCAGAAATGGTCAAGGAGAAGAAGCAAAAAGAGGAGCAAAGGCAGGAATTTAAAACAGAAGAAGAGGCTTCTACCAAACAAATTGGACAGTGGCAAGTGGTCGAACACAAGTAAGAGCTGACGCCTCACTATAAATTTGCAGTGTCATAATACATCTAAAATTTATTTGCAGACCTCCCCCAGAGCCTATTGACTGGGAACTGCCCAACATAGAATATGAATATACTGCGCCTGTGGTTTCAGATGTGCCGGTTGAACCGCCCGTAAAACGTTTTAAAGAGAAGACGATAGCCGGGCTGGACGAAGAAGCAGCCTCCAGTGTGCCAGCGACATTTAAGAAACGCAAATTTGCCAACAAAGGCAATTCGCGCAGGCGGTTAGATGAATAAATAAGTGCAGTTGTAAATAAATACATACATAGTTTTGTAGAATTATGTTAAAATTGATTTTAATTGTTGAATTGTAATGAAATTGCGGAAATTTTCTAGCAAATGCAATGCTTTCCGGCCATGGAGGGTAAGTAGGAATATTCAATGATAAATACAATTTTTAAATCAATATGGAGTTGCCAAGTCGGCGAAATTCAGCAATGAAGCATCCAGCCTCCTACTCGATAGCTGCGATAGCTTTATCGGGCTTTTCAGTGTAAATCGAATATTAGTCGAGTGTTAGCCAAACATGACGCTATCGATAGGACCGTACACGAATGAGTCGCATCGCTCAAAGTCGTATCGTGAGCTTCGTCGTGAGAGGTTGTGTTGTGTCGCGTCGCAGTTTGTTATTGTTATTAAAAGAGAATTAATTAATTAAGAGTATAAATTAATTAATGAAGAATTAATTCTGTTTGTAACAACAAAAAAGGGCAATCGTGGGCAGAGTGAAGCACAGTGCAGCAGCGTCTCGTCAGTGTTCTATTTGTGCAAAATAGAACAGCAGGAGCAGCAACAACAACAACAAAATAATAGCCACAAAAAATCACAGCAACAAAGGAAAATTGTTTGTTGGTTGATAAATTATAACACACACACACACGCTCACATATTGACACATAACATAAGTTTGCACGAACGCAAGCAAGAGTAGAAGTGCGCGGTAGCGGTGGCGGCGGCGTTTGTTGTGTTTTCATTTTACCTGAGAGCGAGTGAGTGAGCCGTGTGTGTGTGCTGCTGCGTGTGTGTGTGTGCGTGTGTTGTGCCCTCTGTGTTTGTTTGTGTTCGTGTGTGCCAGTAAGCTGGTCTGGTCTGGTGGCGACTCGGGCTGAAGAAGAAAGGTCAAGCGTTGCGTAAAGGGGCCATAACAAAACAGCAAAGCAAGCAAGCCAAGTGAAATTGTTGTGAATATAATTACCGCGACGGTTTGTGCGATTGCAAAAAAAAAGGCAGGCAACAATATAACACATAAATCGGGCCGCTTGTTACGTCAGTTATACAAAATATTTACGGCTGTGCTTGTGTGCGCTTAAATTTGGCAAAATTCAGTTCGTTTACGTATACAACAGTCCGTCCAACGCAACGGATTCATATCGAACTGCCGTAGCGCCCTACGCCCCGTACGCCGCCGAGCAGCAACGACATCAGGATCTGCCCTCGGACACCGAACAGCTCGAGAACGACGCCGATCCCGACCCCGACGCCGATCTGAGCGAGCAAAGCAGCAGCAGCGGCTCTTCCATACCTGCCGCTGCACTGATCGCCAGCAATAGCATCTACAACAACTACAGCAGCAGCAACAACAACAACAACAGAAATTGTAGCAGCAAGGCGAAATCAACAGCCAGTATAGCGGAAGCAGGAAGAAAAGCAAACAGCAACAGCAGCAACAACAACAACAAACTCAACTACAATATGGCGGTGGTGCGCAAAAAACAGGATGACAAATACCTGCTCGCTTTGCGTGAATTGGTAACCAGCGGCGCGAACAATCGCAATCGCCAATGCTTCGACTGTGGCCAGAAGGGACCAACCTATGTCAACATGACCATCGGTTCCTTTGTCTGCACACGCTGTTCGGGTGTTCTGTAAGTACATTTCTACATTTCTACATACCTATATACTTATGTACATGTGTACATAATTCGAATTTCTTTTCCCAAAAATTACCCGAACATACAGTAGTCAGTCGATAAAGTGCAATTGTATTTCATACCTTTTAGGAACAACTCCATGAAATAGTACGTAGGGGAACCGTAAATTTTAGGGCTTGTAAAAAAGCAATGATTTTAAAACAATCATAAATAATTGTTAATTTTTGGCGACCTTTCTAATTTACTTTCTATCTATGCTCGTTGCAAAAAAATAATCATAAATATTGACAGCAATCGATGTAAGTTGGGAACCGACTGAAAAGGTTTCTTAAATATATAGGCAAATATATGATGAATGAAAAGGTCTTTTAAATATATAGTAAAATATATACCCTCATCCTTATAACAGTTGTCAAAAATTAGAAATACGAGGATGAAAACACATTCTTAGCAATTCTGTGAAAACCCGATTATTTTTTACCTTCTTAAAGCATATAAAAGACTACTATAAGTTAATAGATAGCACTGTCTTACCATAAGTCGGTCGCAGATACATATCTTCAAATGGCTTCTAAACTCATGCCGTTTATTGCCAAATACATTTTTCCAAAAAAGTTATATTCATACGAAAACGGAAAGCATTTGGTCGTAAATAAATACGACCTTTACTATAAAATCTGTTACATAAAAGTGAGAGAAAAAATCTCTTTTTGTTAAGCTTAAGAAATAGTTCTTGACCCACTTCAGACGCGATAACCCCGTTAACCAAATGTTTCTATGAGTTTCTGTGAAAACCTGCCAAGCTTCCATATTCTCAGCAGTGTTGATTATACTTATGATGTTTATAATAATACTAATGATTGTTACATTTTCTTTACTTATTATTATACAAGTACTTAGACAAAGAGATTGTGAATTTGGTCTTGAACTTGAATGGAAAAGGAAATAAAAACTTACTTTAAGCAAGAGGAAGCAGAGCTTGCATTTCCACTCTAAAATATTTCCATAGCAATATTTTGCGATAAGAAGAAGGTTCCATAACTGAAATGCTTGACTGTATTTGAATTAAAAGCTGCACAGTCATGTCAGTCACCGAGGGAAGGGCAATTAAATTTATCAGTCTTTGCCGGGATGGTTGAGTTTTTTGCACAATTACCAATGACCGATCGTTGAAAGTGTCGCTGACCGATAATTTGTATGCAACGACCGACCTGTAGAGGTCCCAAAGATTGCCGTCTTTGTGTTTGATCGATCAACACAATTGCTTCGACATATTCTGTGAAAGCGAAAGCCAACCACAACCAAACATAGAGACGAACACGTATGTGCTTGTACGAGTGTTTCATGCAATTTCGCTTTCCTTTTCCGTTGCGCGCACTTTTTGATATTCAAATTGTGGTACCAACTTTCGATTGGCGACAACACATCCAACTTTGGGGGCATCCAAATTATTTACATTTCTATTTTTGCAGTCAAGTTGACGCAGCGGCATGAAGTTTCATGTTCACGTATAAATGTGTATATTTTCGCAGATTTTCAAAGTCATGGTCGCAAGCGATTTGCAACTCTCTTTCTCTCTCTCTTGTTTGGTTTTAACAAGTTCCTTGGCATTCTGGCCAACAAAAATGCACTTTGTTTTATGCCGCCATACTGTGGGAATATTTTAAATTTGGCGCTTAAATAAAAGATTTTACAAAATTATAGGCAAGCATAATTGTAATAATAATCGTTTCAGTCCCCAGAATTGAACTTGAGAAGCGGGAATCTATTTACAACCTTTATACAAATTTTGCCCCAATTGAGGGACCAATTTTCTATAAAAAAAATTGTCCTCTTGTTAATCTTCGTTGTTTTAGATAAAAAACATGTACATGTATAAATAAAGTTAAAGTTGACAAATAGACGACCTTTTAGTTACTATTAAGATGGCGAACCGGAATTTTTAATTCTAGCCATTTTTCACATTTAGTCGAAAGTATCAGTAAAATATCGTTTCAAGGAAGTGCTCATCAACATTTAATTTCAAATGGAAGGCCAAAGCTTTGATAACATATTCCCTCGACTTATTGTTTCAAAAGCACTTTAAAAAAGTAATGTAACAAAAGAATGATAAGCTTCTTCAGGTTTTGAGCAAAAATACATACACTCATTCCATTGTGCGTCACTTTGATGAGCCGCTATTGCATCCTCTTCGATTTTGCAATGACATTGGCGCATCTGAAGTTTTATTGTCAAGCTGCTGTCGCCAAATATATATATATATACAAGCATACGTATGGTATATAAATATCGAGGACAGCTGCCTTGCATTCTTTAGCTGCTGTTGCTGCCGCCTCGACAATCAATGGCCAAGGCAATTGGCACATACTTTTAATTGCTCTGGTCCACACAATGCCAAGTTTTAGCTGACAGCCTTTAAATAGTTTGCACACTTTTGTGCCCAATTGGAACTATAAGAGGGGCATCCGTTTATCGTCATCAGCATCAACAGCATTTGCAATGAACAATTCAAAATCCAACTACCAGCACCAACCAGTACGAGCACTAACCAGTATTTACATTGGAATTTATGCACTTCCGGATGTTACTCATATTACATGATTGCTTTCAATCTGAAAACTTCCGTCTACCGGCAACGAGTTCCACACTTTAGCAATCCACTAATGGTGCCACACATTATGCTTAGATATTGTCTGAGTGTCGTCTATATATGCATATGTATGTGTGTGTGTGTTTGTGTGTATGTGTATCTGTGTGGTAACACAACTCGTTCCCATCAACAATCATCAGCTCAGCATGCGGGTGGAGCTTTAGCTTATACCTAAAAACGCTGGAATTGTCTTTGGAGCAACAATCATTCAGGGATAATAGGAATCAATTAGGGTTAATGGGAATGCATATTTTTTTTAATGAAATACAAAGGAAGCTTAAGAGCGGAAATAGTGGGTCACCATTATATAAAAAGGTTGATTTTTCTGTTATGGAAAAGTAATATTATATTAAACAGTACAAATACTACGGTATTCACGTCAAGTGATTAATAATTGTCATCTTCAATGTTAAAATAATTAGTATTAGTGCAAAGTTTAATCAAATTTCATATACCCAGATCATTTTTAATAGTTATTGGCCGAAATTAATTTGCTCAACTTGCTGAAAGAAATAAGACAAAACATCTAGCAGTCTATTTGAGTCCATTAGTTAAGCAGTCGAGAACACCATATATTTTTTTCTTTTCTTCTCTCTCTTAAAAGCCACGTTACTCCAAGGGCGAAGTCTTATTTTTAAATTTGCTTCCAAGTTTTCAATGGTAAATGACTCCAATCTTTTTTCCGGGCTATTCTTTTTCTTGTCATTCTAAAAACGACTGAACCATCTTATCCTCTGGGCTTTGACTTATTTCATTAAAAGAAATTTCACTTTGCAGTTGTATCGAATTCGGTAATCTACGGCTTAAGTTCTTACTGGGCCCTATTTTTTCCTAAGTTTATAATTTTTTTTGAAGAACCCTTTTTGCAACGACTTTTTTATACTGCCCATGAAATTTTATAATTTCCCTGCCATGCCAAATTAATTTTATACTTTAATCAAAAGAAACGTGAGATTAGTTAGCGACAGTATACAAATCTAGTTATTCAGACATTGGAGAAGAAATGAAGTACGTCGATGTCATCTATGTTTTAATTTCAATGCTTGGCATTTCGATTGGACAACAGCATCGTAAGTGACTTTTGTAGAAGGCTGACAAAACATCTAATTTTTCAATGGTTTTAGGACGTTGCCTAGAGCCGCCATTCCAGCAAGGATCTTGTGGTTCAAAAATCTATTTATGGTCTTATGATTCAGCGACTAATGACTGCAAATCGTGGGTCTATACAGGCTGTGGTGGCAATTTCAATCGGTTTGGGACAGAGATTAATTGTTTATATACTTGCCTAATTAAGAGTTAATACATATTTATTTGCAAATATAAATGCTACAAAAATATGTCGAACTATCTATAATCGATTTTGGGTAGTATTCCAAAGTCCCATTCGTTTAAATAAAGTGAATCAATAATTTAATACCGTTTATGAACTTCAAATATTTGCCTGCTGCGCAGAATTATCCGGTACTCCAAGAGTATAATATAGTTTTGCGGCGTATATAACAGGCAGAAGGAAATATAGTATATCCGACTGAATGTTCGTTTGTCTGAATGAATGCCTGGATTGCAAAACGACAGAACCCCAAAACCTGGGATGTAGACTCTTCAAGGTCTTGGACAACATAAGTTTATTCAATTTTTCTTTTCTTTTTTCCTCCCTTTTGCCGTAACAGAATTTGTTCAATATTGCCCAAAATTCCGAAGCTACATAAACTAAACTAAACTACATAATATAAAAATTAATAAATCTCTTTAGTAAATCTATACTTTTTGGCTTAAATTTATTTCGGTGTCTTTTAGATTACACAATTTTCGAAACAATTTTTATTACAATGCTACCTTTATTGCAGTAATAGGTTCGCTATTCGATTTGCTTCACTACCAAGTACCCCTAATTCTGTTTTTACACGGTAGATTGGTTCCTTATATCTCAAGAAATATTTGTGCAATTTTTAATTTTCAAACCGTTTTATATCTAAGTCATGTAAAAAAAGACCGTTTAAAAACAGAATTAGGTGTATTTCAAAGTCGGGTTTGCTTCGCTTTAATACTATTATCTTATTTGTATTACTGGGTGCTCTGTATCGTTAAGACTTAAAAGACTTTTCTTTATATCTTATCTGATATGACATACAGTCGTAGGGTTTTCTATTTATTTGTCCATTGCAATTTCTGAAATATTTTATTTCTCTTGCCATATTAATTTCTATTGATTCAAGCAATTAGGCAATCAATACTCGCCACACTAAAACTTGTGTCACAAGGCACACACAAAGTCGTGGTATTCGTTCATATATGTGTGGAAGTAATTGTATTTGAGTATTCGAGACACTCGGCGACTTTCATTTGCATTGGCCCGAACAGGAAAAGAAATGGACTGCAATATGTTGTGCGAATAAGTAGTTAGTTGCCAGAGGGGGTCTGTCATACTATACTCGTATGCAGAGGTTGGCTTGGTTGTTGGCTCTGATGACTCATTGGATGCCAAAGAAGTGCCCCTTATGCATAAAATTCCAACTCCGACTCCGACTTCAATTGTGTGTGTTTTATGTGCTTCGTTTCTCTGCCCCTCTCTCGCTGTCTGTGTTTGTTGTGACAGAAACGAACAAACAACAACAACAAGAGAAGCAGAACATGCAAATGTAAATGAAAAGCCGCATAAATGCCTGGACTTTTTGGCATGACGACGACAACAATAACAACAACAAAAACAACATTAGCAGAAACAGCAACGAGGCAACGAACTTCATGGCAATAACTGCGGAACAGCAGGCAAACAAAAAGAACTCAAAGTCCGATACGAAATTGTGGCTGGCATGCATGAAAGGCTCTGCTATATGTATGCACATACATATGTACGAGTATGTCCTACAATGCTGGCCAAGTAACTAGGAACGACTGAAATATCAAAACCTTCAAAACAAATAATTAGCACATAAAAGAATATAAAAGTATTTAAGAAGACAAATGTTGGGGTACATCGAATACAAGAAACCAACAAGAATATAGAATTATAGAGCATAGTTCTCTCATAGAACAAACTTCTTGGAACACACTTTCCAGTGTGACCAAAAACTTAAACTTAACGAAAGAGCCAAGTATTTTACATATTTACAGATCAGGCGCCCTATGTAGGTATAAATTGCACAAATTATTGTAGTCGTATCAAATTCTAATACAACCAAATGTCAAAATTAGAAAATAGGTAGACTTGTAGTTGTCTCTTTTACTTACCTACAGCTTTTCAGGTTTGGCTTTATCTTCTCAAAGCTATGTATATACAAGTACATTGTCCAAAATATAATACTCTTTGGTGGCAATTCTTAAATAGAAGACAATCAAATAACAATTGAGCATCCTAAGAATAGCACCTCTATTCTTAAAGGTTCAGAAAATGCACCGATTTTCCAAGTTATTGCTCTTCCAAAAACAATACAAAAGCACACGTTTCTTGAGCTTGTGGCAATTCTTAAAAAGAAGACAATCAAATAACAATCAAACATCTTAAAGGTTCAGAAAATGAACCGATTTTCCAAGTTATTGGTCTTCCAAAATCAATACATTTGTGAAGTTTTGTGACTTTTAAGGCGACTAAACCAATTTAGTTTTAGTTTTTCTTTGATATATGTATATGTAAGGATGAGTTTATATTTATAATGTTTAATCAAATACCAAATTAGAGTTATAATAATGAACTGAATGAATATAACAGGAAGCGGTACAAAAATCAACTTAAAAATGTTAGGCAACTTTATATTGAGCTTCAGCCGACGTCTTGCTTCTGCAGAGTTTTCACCGAGAGTGTTTTAATGCTGCCACCGGGTCGTAACCCAGGGTTGCCAGTTGTCCTATGTATTGCCACCTGACACATATATCTATTATATTGAAAAGGATCTGTGCTTTCAATGCATTCCCAGCTCCATAGAAAATGGCGCGCAGTTCTAAATGTCTCTTTTTGGGCATTTAAACAAGTTAAATTGTAAAGGGTGAGGGTATCCCTTATTTTGAATATTATTCTAATTAAAAAGCTGTACTCTCTAAATATTTTAAATACGACCTAAACTTGACGGCAGTTTATCGATAAACTGCGACGTAGAATGCAGCACTTTATTTTTAAGTTAGAAATCAGAATGCTTATCTATCTTATCTAAAAGCTATTTTATGAATTACTATTTTGAATTAAAAATATTTGAAATTGAAAATATAATGAGATTGTCCAGTTAAAGCAACATTACATAAAGAAACTCTTCAAGTTTTGCATTTGAATAACAATTTATTGCTCCGTTCCTACAAACTTGGCTTCCCTATATACACACACATACATATGAATGTACATAAATTTGGATGTATCTATGTATGACTGTGTGTGTGCAAGTTAAAGCAACTCTGCTGCAACAACTGACATTAAGTCAGCTTCAAACAACGTTGAGCGCGCAGGCGTGCAGACCGGCCGGTTCGTTTTGGTTAACTTAACTTTAACAACAACAAAAAGTTAAAAAACAAAATGATAAAAAAACCTGTCAAACAACTTTTGCGCATATTTTTGGGCCAACTTGGCATTGTTGCTGTTGTTGTTGTGGCTGTTGTTGCGGTTACTGTTGTTGCCGTTGCTGTTGCTGCCACGACTGTGTGGCAATTGCAGACAAATTGTTGCACCTCAATCAGCCAGCAGTCGTCGGCCCAGGTAGACAACTACAACTACAAATACACACACACACACACACACACACACATATATATATATATATATATATATATATATTACTCCTATATATGCATATGGATGAATAAGCTCTGTCCCATTCAAAGTTCAAAACATTTTCTGTATTGTTTCTCATACCCGTGCTCATACTTGTAGAAGTCAAGAAACTTGTTGATTAGATAAGGCGCAATTATATTACTAGCATGTCCACAAATATATTCACATATTCGTCATACCTACTACATGTTTATTTATAAATAAAATAATGCCCTCTCTGAGCTACTTTCTCAGGCGTCTTGTCATCGACATCTTTATGCGTCACTCGACAAGGCCAACGATGTCAAAATGCCCAACTGTGGTGGCGTCTAACTGCGAGTCGGTCCAAATAAGAGGCGTATTCTGACTCTTGTTGGGTGAAATGAATGTCTGTGCTTGGGACATTCTTTTTTCATTTTCCAGATATATACTTATACACAGAGAGAGAGAGCGAAAAGTGGAATTGCTAGTGACGTCTTCTGGTTCCTATTGGTGTCACTCAGAGGGGGGGAAATGGAGCTTGAAATAGATAAGCCTGAATTCAGGCTCATCCAATCAACCTGTTTGCATGCATGAGCTGTACAATTTAGGGTGAATGTCCCCTATTGGTGTTGAACACCTAAATGCAAATATTTATACGATCGCCCAAACAATAAAGTTCATGGGGGAGGGTGAATGAAATTTGGTTTAAACGACGCTTTTCTGGGTTGAAAAATGTTTTCTATGCCTTCCCATGAAAGTATATTTCTAAAAATAAAACCATTCTATGTAATTGATAAAAGGTTTCAACAGAATTTCTGGTTTTTCTATTTTTTATCGGTCATTGTACAACAGTAATCCTTAATTCAATATATCTTCTGAATATTTAAAACATTCTATCTGAAGAAAATTAAGTAATTTCCTATTTTATTAAATTAGAATTGTTTTTTGTATTTAACACAAATTTAAATAAATAAATAAATCTTCGTTTAAAATAAGAAAGCTTTTAGTTTTGAATTCACATGGGAGTTTTGAAAATAAATTTTATTGCACACAAATGAGCTTTGTGGAAACGATAAGGAAACCACGTTGTGTTTTCTAAGCTTCTTAGAAAATACAAATGAAATCTTTTCTATGTCGTATTTTAATGGGGTTTAGAAAACCATTTATCTGGAACTTATCAAAATGTATGTGTATTATTTATATTTGTTGAAAACAATTACGTAAAGCGGAGTTTGGTAACAAAGTTTGCGCTCATTCTATTTTTAAAGCAAGTGCCTCAATTAAAATTCTAAAATTCTCACAATTTCTTCAAAGAGGTTTTAAAAAGAAAACCTATATTTGTTAAAACATGTTTCAAATAAAAGAAAAATACGATTTAATGTTTTCATTTATTAAAAAATCATAAGAAATTGAATATGTCTAGTACTTTTTAAAAAACGTGCTCAGCTGTTTAAAAAACATTCGTTGTGGCTTTCGAAAGCTAGCTGTCCAGAGGCATTGTCTTTTCCATGTTTTCTTGTTGGAAAACCATTAGTGGCTGAACTTGGCTTACAGAAACAGCAGCAGGGCCTGTCTGATACTTTGTAATCTTACAACTTTTTGTATTCAATTGGCTTTTTT